AGCCCTCAAAGTCTGCAATTTCGCCACCAAAATGAAGAAACTGCTATTTGTTTCGCCAGGTAACGAAATTAATTTCAAAATATATTAAAAGAAAATTTTCGCCATCAAATATGCGAAACTATACTTACATATCGCAATTCGGTTGGCAAAATTCGTTATACGAGTTACTGTATATACCTAAGAGAGCGGTTCAAATGGAACCGCTCTCTAAAATAGACCTATGAGAGCGGTTTTAATTTAACCGCTCTAAGAAGTCATATTTCGTTCTTTTTGTGGCGAAATAGGTATTAAACATTTCAAAAATTAATACTTTTGCCAGCTGTTTGGCGAAATTTTGATCCACGTGACAAAATCGCCCCAGATTGAGAAATTGTTTCAAATTTCCTATAAAATAATAAATTGTTTTTTAATTTACAATATTTTAATAAATTTGCCATAATTTTTATTAAATAAATAACATACTAGTAAAAATTAATTTAAATCTTAATTTTTTAACAGTAGACATTTTCTGTGGTGTTGATTTCTATTCTTCTTGTTAATTTGTCTTTTGAAAGTAAACATTTATAGTTTTTGAAACTAAATGCTCAAAATATTTTTGAGACAAATTTTCTTTGTTCTTTTATATGACCCGTAACATTTTCATTAAAAAATTATGATATTTTATATTCATACAAAATTTTCACTTTATTATTAAAAATTTTCTTTTAATTATTTTATATTATTTATCATATATTTTATTTTTCCTTTCTCTCTTCTTATTATTCATTAAATAATATACTTAATGAGTGTATGATAAATTTTTATTAAAAGATATTTATTATACTTTTATATTTTTACTGAAATTTATTAATTTTACATAATTAAATTCAACCCTTGAAAAATGACAAAACCTATTTCAAAAGGATGTTTTTCTCTTCCATTTATAACTCCAGCTTTCATATTTATCTGTGTCTCCTATGTTTCCACCATTAGAGCACGACAGTGATACTGGCAATCGGATCGGGCAACGTCGTTGGTGAGAGAAATTAGGATTTCACTGATGAAAATATCATTAGTCTCCACAACGCTGTCTTTATGCATGAAATGATATACAAACTAAATCGAAGCTTACAAATTTTCAATTATTATGTATGCCATATAATTGAACAAACAACGTGAAAATGATATTTTAACCTATTATTATTCTTTATATTGAAATTCTCCGTTTAATTATACCTTTTTCTTTTATTTTCTTAGGTTATTTACAATGTACAGTGTACATATGGCCTTTTTTTTTTCAAGATTACTTTTACTACGACAAATTAAAATTAATCAACGGAAAATTTATGTTTAAACTCTAAAGAAAAATGCTAATGTAATTTAGAATGTAGAAATGAATGAACGAAAGTTATACCATTAATGAATAACGCCTTATTTATATATATATTTGTTGGTCTACATAATAAAAAGTTTGATTTTTCCTATAACTAAAATATTTTTTTCAAATCTTATAAATAAAATAAAAATATTACATTTAAAGTTGTGGTAAATTATTAAAAAATTATAATTCTAATTAAAAGATATAAAATTATTTTAAAAAATCCTACATTTATTTTAGCCTCACTGTAATCAAATGGCGCTTCTGAGCGTATTGTCATTTCCCACACAAAATACAGTGGAAAATTGGTACACCATTCAAATTGGAACCGTTGAGATGGGACCACTTTGATTCTAAGTTAGTATTTTAAAATCTGAACCGTTTTGAAGGTTCTGATTTTCTTTATTCCACCGATTGCATAGTCTTTTACTACACTAAATTTGGGTCCTAAAAATGCTTTCGTCCCTAATCCTACGACATTATTAAATTGTGTGGGAAGTGTGTCAAACACGTGTCCAAAACAAGTGAATAATTGGTATGAGTGTTCAATTCTTTCCCCTTTTCCAAACATGTCCCAGACACAAGGTTATGAGCATTGATCAGTAGATGTACTCACATCCTCTACCATCATCATACGTTATATCTTACACAAATATTAAAAAATAATGTAATAAGTTTGTGATTAAAAATAAAATTGTAAAAGAAAATAACCCCTGAAAAGTGAAAAGTAGTTGAAACAAAGCACATGGGGATAAGAGGAGGTGTTGGGACTGTTTCTGAATTGGTAGGCTTAAAGTCACGCTCAAAATGGCCCATAGTTGGACCTGCGTCTACTTCCTATACCCTTCTTAGACCTTAACTATTCTTTTCACAACAATCAAAATAAAATTAACCAATACACTTTATTTATCACTATTTTACTCATAAATACCATTCAACTACCCTCATACTTCTTAATTTAATTATACATTTTCCTGCCACTCAATAATTGGGTTTGTTTTTCACATTAAATAACAAAAAAATATTACTAGTATCATTTTTATTTTATTTTTTTCATATATTTTAACTTTAATTCAAAACACTTCATATTCATATGTAAAAATACTAATTTGCATAACTTTTACATCAAAGCCACAGTTGTTGAGCGGGGAAAAATGGCACAGGGAAATTTTCTCTTAGGTAGATTTGTTAACAATTTCAGTGTTATTTTAATATAAAAAATTAATAATTATTAATGTTAAATATTCTATTCAATTAAATAAAATATACAAAATTTAAATTTAAATTAATATTGAATTGAAAATAAATGTACATTTGTAGAAAAAATTATTTGTTATGATAAACAAACCTACTCTCTAAAAATCACTAGTTAAAAATATTCATACACACTCTATTTTAAGAAAACTCTTAAAAAGGTTATTATTCCAGAATTAATACTCATCAGTTACGTATAAATATTGCCCTAACTATCTTTGATTTTACCTTTTTCTCTCTCTTATTTTGTTTATATATATGCATTTCTAAAATATCTCTCCAAATAAAATTGGACAACTTTTTGTTTCCTAGTTTTTCAGTTTACAAAATACTTTTTATCTACAAAAAAAATATTATTTGAAGATATAAAAGTTAATACTATATGTAATAGTATATATTTTTTATTTTTATATTTATTTATTTGGTGTATACATGTTTTAAAAATAAAATTTAAAATTAAAGAAAGCATTGAAGAGATTTTACTTCATATATACAAAATATATCTTTACAAAAGTATTAACGAATAACAGTGAATCATGGCCACAGTTGTGTTACTGCATATAGCCACGCCCAAAAGATGGCAATCCCTTTCATCTATTTTTATTTAATTAAAAATTAAAACGTATTTAAAATTAACTTTAAAGATAAAATCTGTGGTGCCCAATAATTTGAATGTACATGCGTGCCTTTCTCACCTAGAGTGACATAAAATTAACGTTTCAATTAATTATAAATTTATATTTCAGAGTTTATTAAATGTCTATTTTCATTAATTTTTAAGTATATATTTAATTATTACCATTAAGTGATTCTGTAAATTAAAAATTGAAAGGTAGCCAAAACTTAAATTAGACATTCCTAATGTTAGAAGGCTAATTTCAGATAAGAGCTTATCTCAGTATCTGGCCTTTTAAAAGTCTTTGCCTCAAATTATCTTTTTATTTTTTATTTTTTTTGTTATTTCAATTTTTAGTCTCCCAAAAATGTAAGTCACTGTCAAGTCTTACGTCACTTCTATCATATGTTACTTAATTCAACTAAATTTATTCTCTTTTATTTTAATTTCATTTTTTATTGTTTTTCTTAATAAAGCATTGTTTACATACTTTTATTTTTATTTACTTTAATTTCTTTATGTGCACCTACTTTTATATCATCTTTTGTTGTTTATATTTATAATGTATATTACTGAATTACTAAAATAAGTGATTTCTCTTATGATATGAGATATTAAATCAATCCTACGGAAAATGACACAAATTTACACTAGAAACTATCTTTTATAAACCAAAGGATTTTAGTACAAAAAGTAATAATTTATGCTGTCTTGAATTTTTCTCTCTATGGTTAAATAAATAGAAAGAGAGGTAGAAATATATAATTATTTTTATTATTCTTGATAAAATAATTTTTATCTAATAAAAAAATTATACGTAATAATTTCAATAAAATGATTGACTTTCTTAGTCTATATATTTTTTTTTCTGTCTGTATATAGATTAATGTGAATGAAGATAATATTTTTATTAAGTAAAAAAAATGTATGGGTTTATTATATAAAAATATTTAATACTTATGAAAACTTATAAAAATAAAAGATAAAGAGATTTAAAATTATTCCTTTTAAAATGTGAAAATAATTTTTAAAATAATCAATTTTTTTTTTAAAAAAAGCTAAATATTGGCACACTTTGTGTGTCCATCTGATGAGATGCACTTGTTGATTTTAGTTGAGGGATGATTTCGTCGTGTCTAGTCATTCTCGTTTAGTCGGTGAAGCTTTTCGCTGTCGATCCCTTCCGATGTGGTCCTAATGTGGCATATACAATGGTCCTACCCACGATACCACTTCTTGGCAACAAATTGCAGAGGCCTAATCATGGTTGATTATCATGGATAAAATTTATAATTTCACAAAACATTTCTCTGAATAGCGAAAATCCATTTGAATCTTATTTTAAAAATTGTGGTAACAAGACATTTTTCCCACTATCAAGACAAGCCCTATGGCACAATGGTATAGGGCCCTTATGCTTTATTTGTTTCCCACTATGGATACCTAACATGGACGGTTTTTGCAGTGCCGTATGGAAAGGAGCAACCAATTGTTTATATCATTTACAGCCTGTATTGTCCATAACTCCATATTATAACAACTAAAAAGAAAAGCAAAAATATTACAAGAACCTCATTCCCAAGTACTCAAAAGCATGCAAAGTGATCCCTTTTTTTCTCTTTTTTCTTTATGTAATCTAAAGCACATTTTTGAGAGATTAATCAGCAAAGCTACCATTTTAATGTACCTTGTGAATAGTATTATAATATAGTATATCATAACATAACATTCACACTAAGGAGTAATCCTAGCCCCACAAAAACTGAAAAAAAAAAAAAAAAAGCAGCAGCAAGTGTGTCACTTTCTTTTTACTCCTTTATTCCACGGTCTTTCTCTTTGTCAGCGTTCTCATCCAACCCTTTCTCACCTTCACTCCTTCCACCTTGTTTCCAACGTGGCCCACACCACCCTTATTGGACCTCTTCCATTGGATGAGATGGACCAAACGCCCTATACGCTTTCGCCATCTAAATGCGTTATTTGACTTTCCATGTTCTATCACACTCTTCCTCTCCTTCCCCTCTTTGTTTAGAATTCTTTGAATACATACCTTATTAGGGACATTGTTCTTCTCCCACGAGGCCACCCCATTTTCTTCAAACTTGATTGAGATGAAGGACTCTGAAAAGTTGAAGTCAATCCACCATGTCATTATAATTTGTAGATACCAAGAAACACAAAGAAAAGTTAAGTGTTTACAAGTTATTGAAAAGAGTAAATAAAGTGAATAGGATGCTAAAGTTTGCTTAGTTTTGATTTAAACTTTAAATTATGTAGAATCATTTCACATACGACAAACCCATTAAAGAGAATAAGAAGTAAAATCAATCAATGTAATAGATAGATTTGGAGTAAATCAACCTAGTAGGCACACCAATTTGAAGTGGGTTGAAACTGTATTAGACATTGACATATATATATCATACTTATGTTTGAAACATGAATGACATTTTGAACAATTTGTTTTTGTAATCCAATTTCCCATCAAATATATGATCTTGCACAAAATATATTTTAAGCATCATAATGCTCTTGTCGTTTACTTACAACTCCCACACGCCATGCCATGAAGAAGAAATAAAAAAATTGATAGACTTGAAAGCCTTCACCTCTTGTGTTGGCACTCTTAGCAGCAAAGCTTAAGACCTTAATTTCGTCATCATCATAATCTTATGTTGCACATGAAGACACGCACACATGCACTCTTATGCTAACACATGAACACCAATTCTCTCACACCTCATAATGAACATAGATAACATAATAAAAACACTGTTTTGAACTCATTTTTTAATATATTATTTTATTAATTAAAAACAAAACAAAATACTTATCTTATGAATTAATCAGTTTTTAAAATTTGTTTATTTTTTTAAAAATTTAACCAATCACAGAGAATGCATTATTAACATGCCTCTAAACATTATACAAGAAAAATAAGTTATAAATCATAATTAACACTTTAAAATTTTAATCCCACCCAAGACAACTCTTCCTTTATTTTATTTTTATATATAAATCATAATTAAGCAAAGAGGTAGAAGAACAAGAATAATAAATTTTGATAATAGCAATAGCAAGCAATGTGTAAAATAAGCTCTTTCCTTCTGGGCTGGGGGAGGCATCATCTTGGTCATAGTTCTCAGATTTCAAGTGGTGGGATTCTGGGCGACCGAAAAGAGAACCAAAAGCAAAGATCCTGTGAATAGAAGCTGAAGGGTTCCTCTGTTGAACCTTGTGAGAAGCTATGGAAGCAAAGGGGCGATGATGGCCTTGTTTTGCAGCCACTATGAGGAGCCTCTCATTCAAGCAGAAAGGGCACACACCAATAACTACTTGATTTGGATGGAAATAGCAACATGAATTTTCCTCCTTGTATCCATTTTTATTCATTTTTTGGCTCACAAATAAAGAGAGGGAAGAAGAAGAAGAAGAAGAATGATAGAAAAATCAAACCCCAATTCCAATGTGATGTGAACTAATTAATTAAAAAATGTAGTGTGTGGTATTCTTGAGAAAGTATATATATATATGGGGGGAAACCAAATGAAAAATCATGAGCATGGCCCCAGTTGATGTAAGACCTTAGACTATTTGATACTGTTATGTTGGACTGCAGGGGTGATTCGATAACGTAATGTAGTGAACTACAGCACTTTGGTGTGCATATATAAGGAACGTAATGGATTATAACTGAGATAAATGCAATAAAACTGCCCCACGCCCCCACCTTGCTTCATAGGCTTTTTGCGTTGAAAGCTTTATCGCTTTTACAGGATTTTAATCATACTTTTATTTAGGGTAAAATTATAATTTTACTCCTCAAAACTTCCTTTCAATAATTTTTGGTGTACACAATTAAGAGTATATTATCCATGATTTAATTTAAAATGTTGTGTAATGTTAACTTAATAATATTTAAGAATGGATTGGGCACTTTAAAAATACTCATTTCAGCTCTTATTCTTCAATTCTTTTAAAAATTATTCTCATTGTTTATAGTTTTAACATTAAGATGCAGTTGGAATCATAAAAAAATAAAACCAATATATGCATATTTTGAATTTGAAATTTTATAAGTGAATTGGGTTGTTTATTTGTTTCCTAGCTAATTAAGTTTTGTTTGGAAAATAGGTTGTTTGAATATTATATTAGATTTGATTTTTTATATTGCAAATGTTACAGTGGTTATTCTCCGTGTGAATAGGAAATACGAAGGTCTTTATTAGCAGTTTAAATTAAGAGATGCTGTCAAGGTGCAGATTTTTAATAACAGTTCCAAAATTATCCATTAATAAAAGGCCTATTTCTCAGGGGAAAAAAAACCATAAACCTCAATTAATAATCCTTATAAAGGCACTAGTAATTTTATTTTTTTAAAATTCTTTAGTAACATTTTTTAATAAAATCACCTATAAATAATACATTTTTTTATATATATTATTCTATATCTTAATACAATCATATTTGAGTCAAGTAAGATTATTACAAGAAGCAAAACACTCCCTTTAAGTATCTAATATAACTAACTACATTTACTAGAACTCAAATTTAAAATCATTAGTTAAATAGGAACAACTCCTCGTCAATTTATCTATGAGCTAGATGATAAAGAATGCCTACTTTAAAACAAAGAAAATAATAAAACTAACTAAAATGGTAAGTTTGTATCGTAAATGGGAAAAAATTGTTAAAATTTTATCTCATATAAAAAAAAATACTCGTAATCTAAGAAAGAAAAAAGTTATAAGTTTATAAATGTCAATCGTTCATTAATATTAAATAAGTGGCTATGGTTAATCTGAGCATAAGTTGTAATTCAATTTGAAATATGAGCCTCCAATCCTACATTTTTTCTCTAAGATGTGGAACATTATCCCCAATTTCTCCCCTTCTTCTATAGTCCCCAACGACAACCATTTACTATTGGTTTCTACATTCAACCACTGGCAAACTCGTAGACAAGGATGGTGTCTTTCTCGTGCCAAAGATAAATATGTGGGAACACTGCAAATACATATATATAAATAATAAATATAATTTGTGTGTGTGTGTGTGTGTGGGTGTGGGTTTAGGCTTGGATGCTGGTTTTGGATTGGTTTTCATAATGGGTAGAGTGATTAGTATAATTAAAAATAGTTTGTTAACATTAAAGAGAAGAGAGAAAAATGATGGATGTGATAGATATTGTGAAATGATAGAAAGAGATAACATGTGTTAAATGTGTGTTGATATTAAATGTTAAGATGGTTATAAATGAGGATTGAGTATAATTATATTTAGTCATTTCTTATCTCTTACTTGTGTACATGGTACATAGTTGCTTGCGGCAAGTGGGTTATGAAGATCCATTCATGTGTTTTTTTGACAATAAGACAGTTTGATTCGCAGTAGAAATTAATAGGTTTGGGTTTGAGTGGTTGTGATTCAATTCTTATTCTTGGTTTCTTGTGATTTACGAGACTTCAAATAGTTTTCAACATTTAAATTAAGTTTATAGATCCATTGCTTTTTAATTTTTGTCATCTAAATTTGTACCGTCATTTTGTAATTTAGCACACTTGAGTTTTTAATTCTTTTTGTGCAATTTTTTCATTTGATTTCTCATGCTTCTATTAATTACATCATTAGAAGGCTTCTGTTCATTTTGGAATAGACTTATTGCCAATATAGATTTGACTTTTGAACAGCAAAGTTGGGAGACAATGATTTAGAGACATGGTTCAGTTGTCAAATTCTTTTTTGATAAAACACAGATAGCAATTGTTCGAAAGTTTGAATTGTTGTTAGATAATTGAAAAATAATTGAAGATTATGGTTTCTAAAACCATTGTTGTAGCGCGTTGCTCTTACCCTCAACAGCGGTCCACAAATAGTTATAAGTTTTCTATGCTAGTAATTTAGATACTTATATAATCATTATTAGCAATAAAAATTAACTTTTGAAAAAAATAATTTACAAGAAATAGTTGATGATTCATATTTTGTACTCACATTTATAGCCTTATGGCATATTTTAAAATATATTTTCTCTCTTTATTTATTGCATTTAGTATGTTTTTGTATTTTTTACGTTAAATTGAAGTTCCATGAATATTTGTTATCTTTACTTTATATTTTGTATTTTTTTTATTATGACCTTTATCCATTATTTTGGTTATAACTTTTTCTGCAGACCTCCTTTTTGGATTATTCTTTTTGCAATGGATTCATGACTTTTTGGGCTTCAATTTGGACGTATGGATCATGCTGATTAGAGTTTGGAGCTATTTTCTATTAATTTTTTAAGTTCAGACTTAAAACATACCTTTTATATTTAGGGTTTCTACTTAGGGTTTTTATTTTACTTTTTGCAGAAGCCTTGGCCTATTTATTTTTATTTTCTTTTAAGATCAATATTTATAAGGATTAGAGGTCAACTTTTAGGGACCTAGTGATTTTTTTTAGTTTTACTTTCCTTTTCATAATTTTGTTAGATAATTTTATATGTCCGTAAGGACCTTCTTTCCCATTTTTTAGAATAAAATTTATTTCGTTCCATTCACTTGCTTGCATTTCTTCGGATCTATGTTCTCAATTATTTGTTATCGCGAAACATCTCATCTCAAACGTGGATTACTAGATCAATTGAGGGCTTTGAGTTTGTCTTTTCACAATTTTTGATTAAGATTTATGCATGCATAATTTGATTAAATTTAGTCTTTGTTCATGACTATAATATCGATAAATTGGTTTCTATTGCATTTGAGTTTTGGACAAATTCGGCATAGTAATCCTAGTTTGCATCTGTGATTTGTAGGTTTATTCGTGTTAGTTTTAATTATTCTTATTTTCAATTTTTGTATTTTTTTGTATCTTCATTTTTTATTTTTGTTTGTTTTCATCTTAATTGATCTCATTTTCAAATTGTTCTCGTTATTCAATTTTTGTTTTCAATTTTTTTGATTCATTTTTAAATTTTAAATTCAAATTCGTTTTTCAAATTTAATTTTCATTTTTTAAATTCATGTTCATTGTTTTAATCCGCTTTCATTTAAATTATTTTCGTTTTTAATTCATCTGAAAATTACAAACTCCCAATTTAATTACCATTGCATGTATAAAAATTGAAATAGAATAAATTTGTGTCCTTGTAAAATGATTTAGGTTTGCTCCCTATATTACATATTTATTTAAAAAATCTAATTTTATTTAAAACTACTACGACATGGTTGTCAATAATCATTCTCAAATTAAATAACATTATTATAAATAATGAAATTCTCCTTTCTTGTAGCGGTAACAGCACAAAAAAAAGTCATATATATGCTAATTATATAAGGTTGGATTAGCCAGTATTAATATACTTAAATAAAGATTAAATAATCAATATCAACATTATAAATTTAAATTGACAAAATAATATATAATACCAACAGATAATTTTCATGGTATAAAAGGCTAATATATACTATCAATTTATAAAACATTTAATGCAATGTAGTGTTCATAATATTTTTGTCGATAATATAAATTTTTATTAAATAAATAACATACTAGTAAAAATTAATTTAAATCTTAATTTTTTAATAGTAGACATTTTTTTGGTGTTGATTTCTATTCTTCTTGTTAATTTGTCTTTTAAAAGTAAAAATTTATAGCTTTTGAAACTAAATGCTCAAAATATTTTTGAGACAGATTTTCTTTGTTCTTTTATATGACCCGTAACGTTTTCATTAAAAAATTATGATATTTTATATTCATACAAAATTTTCACTTTATTATTAAAAATTTTCTTTTAATTATTTTATATTATTTATCATATATTTTATTTTTCCTTTTTCTCTTCTTATTATTCATTAAATAATATACTTAATGAGTGTATGATAAATTTTTATTAAAAGATATTTATTATAACTTTTATATTTTTACTGAAATTTATTAATTTTACATAATTAAATTCAACCCTTGAAAAATGACAAAACCTATTTCAAAAGGATGTTTTTCTCTTCCATTTATAACTCCAGCTTTCATATTTATCTGTGTCTCCTATGTTTCCACCATTAGAGCGCGACAGTGATACTGGCAATCGGATCGGGCAACGTCGTTGGTGAGAGAAATTAGGATTTCACTGATGAAAATATCATTAGTCTCCACAACGCTGTCTTTATGCATGAAATGATATACAAACTAAATCGAAGCTTACAAATTTTCAATTATTATGTATGCCATATAATTGAACAAACAACGTGAAAATGATATTTTAACCTATTATTATTCTTTATATTGAAATTCTCTTTAATTATACCTTTTTCTTTTATTTTCTTAGTTTATTTACAATGTCCATGTGTCCTTTTTTTTTCTAAGATTAATTGAACTATTAAAATTAACCTACGCTAAAATTATATTTAAACTCTAAAAAAAAATGCCAGCGTATTTAGAGTGTAGAAATGAATGAATGAAGGTTATACCATTTAACGAATAATACGGTATTTAAAAACAATTGTTGGCCCAAATAACAAAAAGTTTAATTTGTTCTGTAACTAAAATATTATATTCAAATCTAATAAATAAAATAAAAAATATTACATTTAAAGTTGTGATAAATTATTAATTCTAATTCTAATTAAAAGATAAAAAAAAACGCATTATTTTAGCCTCATTGTATTCAAATCACGACTCTAAGAGTTATGTCTTTTCCAACTGAAACCATTTGGTATCGTGAAAAATGGTACACCATTCAAATTGTAGCCATTGAATGATCGACAACTCTGATTTAAAAAAATCTCAAAAGAATGATCGAAAAGGATTTGGAGTAAAATATCTTATATTGACATGCTCAAGAAAAGATAATTATGTTTTTCTAATACCTATTGATTTGAAGGCTCTAGCCACAATTAAGAATAACTGTCCAATTAAGATCACATTTGCGTTAAAAGATATTGTCTTTGGTACATTCAAACAATTTTTATTGATCATTCTCATCATCTTAGTCCTAGCAAATCAAGATTGTTTGCCGGAAGCAAAAATAAAAAATAGCATGCATTAGAAAACAAAAACCTATTCAAATAAATGATGAAGCTGGTGTAAGGTTGAATAAAAAGTTATGGTCTCTTGATTATGATGTTTGAGGATATGAAACCTTTCTTTTGTTGAAAGAGAAGGTTAGAAACTTCGTTGGGATCGAAAGATGAACACTAGATAAAGAAGGTGATGTGAATGCCCTATTAACATATTTTGGTCGAATGCAAGAGCAAAACTAAAACTTCTTTTATGAACTCAATTTAGATAAAGAGCTCATTTGAAGAACATCTTTTAGACCAAGAGGTAGGACAACGTACAAGTACTTTAGAGATATTGTGTCATTTGACACAACTTGACAAATAAGTACAATATGCCATTTGCATAATTTGTTGGAGTGATTCGTTATGGACAATCTATTCTTCTCAAGTGTGGTTTGTTTTCGTCAAAAGACATTTAGTCATTTGTATTGCTATTTGAACCATGGTTGAGTTGTTTGTCAGGAAGGGCTTCAAAAGATATCATCACTGACCAATGAGCAAGACAATGCAAAATGCTATTATAATAATGTTTTTTAGTGCCCAAAATAGGTGGTTCATAAATAAGCAAACAAGCAAAAGTATTCATGCCTTCTTTGATGGGTACATAAATTCAACTACTAGTATCCAGCAATTTGTGAAGCAATATGATAATGGCCTAGACACGGTAGAAAAGGAATATGATTTTGGATCATTGAACACCACAATTCCCTGTGGGTTAAACTCAACGCTTGAAAGGCAATTTTACACTTACACAAAATTTAAAGAGGTTCAAGTTGAATTCCGAGAAAAAGATTAACTGTTGTATTTGTAGGTGTAAACTAGATAGTTTGAACTATTTGTATGATGTCATGAAGATGTTGTTGTTGGACATCTTCAAGAAACCATCTTTCGTGTAGTATTCAGTCGTCATAATCTTCATATTTAGCGTAGTTGTTTACTAATAGATCTTAGGGTATTATGTGCAAACACACTTCTTGTTCCTACTCGTGAAATTGGTGACGGAAGTACTAGAGAAATACATTTTGCTTTATGGAGCAAAAATGTCCCAAGGAAACACACATGAAAATCAACTATAATGTGAAACAGTTACAATAAAAAATGGAAACATATGATGGTTTATGCAAAGAATTCTATGTAATTGCCAAAATTGTAGTGGAGTGTACAGATGTCAGTGATTTTCTTTATCAAAGTATTCGTTCTATTAAGTCTCAAGTACAACAAATTCCTACATGTACTAGCACTCACGATACACGTGATCATGATAAAGCAACTGATATAGAGATGCATGATTCAGTTGGACGAATGTGTAGTTGATGTTGGGAAAATCCATAGTCCAAAATGGGTGGCTTGAAAGGGTCTACCTCCATTCAAGAGGAAAATGTCAACTGTGGAGCAAGTAGTGAAGAAGAAAGTTTCAAAGAAAAAGCCACAAGAGATTATTACAATAAGTTTTAACCAATTGGGATGCAAATATAACCACATATTTTAGCCTTTGTTAACTATTTTGTAATGGAATATTTTAAATAATTGACATTTTAATGGCTTATATATTTAAAGATTAAGTTGGGTATAAAATGGTCACTAGAAACTAGTTTCATTCATGTTATCTACGATTGTAGAATCTGGTTAAGTTAACCAATTCAAAAATACTATTAACCAAATATACAGATGCTAATGACATGCCTATCGTAGAACTTACAATTTGGAGGGATGGTGGTCTAGGTAATAATTTTAACTCACCATGGTTGTCATGAGACATAATTGTCACTTAAATCGATAACATTCCCATTTTTGTTATGATTATTGTCCAATTATCAAGTGTTTGAATTTCCAGAATCAAAGAAATGATTTTCCTTTAGGTTGCAAATGTGATTAATCAAATTAAGATAAAAAACAGAGAAGACTAGAAAATTGTGACGCCAAAATTTTGAAAAGAATTGCTAAGTGAAGAACGCCACAAGGTGTACAATCCTTGATAAGTTCAGTTTTAGTTCTAGCAAAGGAACCTAGAGAAAACTCACACAAAGTATTATTCAATTCCAAAATCACCATTTGCTTAATGTGTTATCAAAATTTCTAGATGTGGGATCAGATAGGTAGCTGCACGACCAAGGTAAAAAACGTGTATACTCCTCTTAATTGCTAAGTAATTACCTATCAATATCCTCTTAATTGTTGAGTAATTACTAATCAACGAGGAGGTTAAAATTTAGCCTAAATTCGTTGAATATTCAACCTTACAAAACCTAAGTAATTTACTCTAGTGGCAACTAAGTAAAAACTATTAAGAAATTAGATGAACATTATTACAATTTATTAAACTCAAAATTAAAAATATTTGCTAATAAGTCTTCTATATTCTTAATTAAAAAATAATAATTTGTTAAAATTAAGAATTAATCTTCATACTTCTTGGTTAGCCACGTGAATTCTTAAGATAAACTTTGATTCTTCATTCTCTTGAATAGGTAGTGTCATAGCTAGACTTGAAATGAGTTGTGCTTGCTTTTTTGGCATATGATCTTGATAATAGTCCTTGAGTATCTCTACCGGATTTCTACCTTGCATTGATTTGCTTGGAGTTTTTTTTCTTCTATTTATGATCACATGAATTTTTATGAACAATAGTAATAAAATTAAGATTCTCTCGATGGCTAGTAGTTAGATAAATATAACTACATAAATAGATATAATTAGTCATTTTGCAATGTGTTACTTTAAGAGAAGGATCTTCTCACATTAGTGTAAGTAAAAAAAATTTTACATTTGATCTAAGTCTTTCATTTAACTTATATCTAACAACCAGTAAAGTAATAAATTATAACATGTTAGATGTAACTTAAATAAAAGACTCAAATTGTGTGTAAGAATTTTTAGATTTATTAAGAAGATTTACTTATACTAGTGTAAGAAGATCTTGCCCCTTACTTTAAATAATGGAAAGTACATAATTTAAACAATCACAACATTAATGTGGTATTAAACAATCACCATAAATAAATTTAATCATGTCAATCATAAAATAAAAAATCTATTTAGTTATCCAAATATTATTCAAACGTAACCACATACACGTGTTAATGACTAGAATATCATAGAAGTTACCGTTTGAAGGAATAGGGAGGAAGGTTATACTTGAATTTCATATTCGTTCATCTTTATCTTTTTGGAGTAACATAATTCAGATATTTATTTTTACCAATGATAAGCACCAATAAGACTATTTTGTTTTCAACCATTTGTAATCTCAAGACAACCACTGTTTCTTATTTGTTAGACACTTCTAAATGGGAGTACTTAGACAGTGCATACATTGATTTGAAAAGCTGACCACAAAATAGTTTTGATCATGTAATGTATTGATTGCAAAACATTGTTCAGTTAACCATGTATTATTCACGTTTAACCACATACAATTTGATGAATAGTGGGCTAGGTCACACTTGAATTTCTTATTCTGTCATATTTATCATTAAGATTGACAACTTTCATCTTTATTAACAATGGTAAACGACAATGACATTATTATGTTAACCATTTCTAAACTCAGGACAACCACATTTTTTTACCTTTATGTTAACTACTTTTGTATTGAATACTTAAAACAAGTCTAACTAGACGACGTATACATCAACAGACATTGTTTGATATGAAAACGAGATCACAATTATAATTTGGATCGTGTAATGTGCTAATGGTAGAACACTATTCAGTTAACCAAATATACAAGTGTTAATCACCCCAATGTCACATAAGGTTAGAATTTGTAAAAAATACTGGAATACGTCATACTTGAATTTCATTGAAGGTCATATTAGTCGTTTACGGTGGCATAATTCCAAGTCATTAAATAACAAATTTTGAAAGACTAGCATAATAAGGCATGTAAAAAGGATCAAGTTGAAAATGTTCACTATTAAAAAAATAAGAGATGGCAAATAGTCCCCATGTTTCCACGTTATGGTTCAATCACAAGGTATAAAAAATGAGATAGAGATGCTGAAATGGAGTTTTATTTGTCAGCACTCTTCAACCTGAAACTGTCAGGTTGTGTCAGCTGAAGTTCACACATCAAACGAGATAAGCTTTTGAAGTATCAATTTGTACGCAAGGGTTGATATTAAACGACTGAACAAAAACTTTTAAGTACAATATTGACAGGATTAAACATGGAGTAAAATGAAAAAAAAAGTAACCAAGCTAAAAAGAAAAGAGCCTCCAAATACTTTTATTTATTACTCCGTAGACACTAATTCCTTCTATACGTAACCAATAAAATTTTTGAGTCATAGAAGATATCTCAACTTTAAACAATTTGGATAAATTGAGAAAAGAAATTCAATTGCAAAGCATTTTCTCACTCTCACACAAGCAAAATGGATTGACCACAAGCCAACAACTTCAATAACAAAATACACAACATTTTGCCAATGAGTCAGGAGACGCCTAAATCTAAATCTCTTTCTACGTTGGATAGCTTTAACACACTACTCTCATGTATAGAGAATTCACAAAATTGAACAAATTTACATCCGCACTGCCATATAAATTAAGTCACTTCCCCATAAAGTCACCTTCAAGCTTTTCTAATGTACCAAAAGTAAATTCCTGCCATAATTCAAAGTTTTCTGGCTTCATCAGCATGCATCCTAATATTAGTTTAAATACCTTGTTTGTATTACATGGTATTTAATCCATCTAAATCACAACCTTGGAAGCTCTTATTTCTTTTCTTGGATGATGACTTGCTTCCTGCATCTCTTGATGCAATCTTCTCACGTCCATCATTTCCTTCAGACTTCTTGCGTTCTTTGTTCTGCTTAGATCTTTTCTTTCTTTCACTACCATTTAGTATATGTTCTTTGTCTGTAGAAGTTTTTTTTCTTTTTAAAGGCGACGCCTCAATTTCTTCCCTGTCCATGATCTCAGTTGGAATTTGTTCCTCGCTGGGTATCAAATCCGCCCCTGAGGATATATATTAGGTTTTATAAAATTAGAGGGGTAGAGTAAGTTGCTGTAACAAATTTTAATCATCGAAGACATGAAACATGGTACTGATAAAAAATATTAAAAATGTTAAGAAACTGGAAGGTCCAGAATTCAGGACAAAAGAAAAATAACCAAGACAAGAGAAAATTATAATTCTTAAAGCATTGTGATATTTTGGGGAAGCAGGGTGAAATCCATCATATTGCTCAACATAAACTGCTAGGTACCCAAAAAATTGAAGATTCAAGGTATGAATTAGTCTTTTTAGCAGTTTATTGTAGTGGATTTCAGCGTAAAATTCTTTTATCAGTATTTTAGTTTGTAGAACATCACATAGAATTTCATTATGCAATCTTTGTGATTCATATTCTAGTGTCAAAGTAGTACAGGTCAATCACTGCTGGGAGGAATAGTCAGTCGTAAATTGTAATCATATTTAGAAAAGAAAAATACTATAGTATACAACTTGTACTCCAGCAGAATAGCAGATGAGGCCTTAAATATGATCAATGAGGGCACATCAGGATTCACAATTCTACTGCTCATCTGATGCGGTCAGCTACACAGCAAGAGTCCACTAACCTCTTTTAAAATAAAATGTTGTGTAAATCTAGCATTTAGAACCACAAATATACAATACATATATTTACTAATTCAAAATTTAAAGGCTTAGTTCCCATTTTAGGATCCATTCACAAACTCTGGTAAGCAAGTTTTTAAACAGAGTGGCAGTTTCTAATACTCAATGACAAATCAATTGCAGTTCCTCATACTAAATTCTACAGGTGTCTCTTAACGGCAGGTCATTGTTTGTTTCAGACTCAAGATTTTGTTGTTCATTAAACTAATGCAAAGGTATGACCAATAGTGAACTACTCCAGGCATCAACAATCATTCTATGATCTTCAAAGTGTTTCTTCTTTCAAATTTTTTTAATGAAGATCTTAAAATACTATATTGAAAAAGAAGAAAAATACTAACCTTCAATAATGAAGCTGGAGTCAAAAAGAACGTGCATGATATGTTGTTTAAGGAAAACCTGCGGACAGTAAAAATATATAAATGATTATGACTACAAGAATATGGAATTATTTAAAAAATGACTAACTTTGGTCCCTACAACTATAAGCAGAAAATAATTACAAACAATTCAGACAGTAATTGGGGATTGTGTATAGTAAGGTTTCCATGTCAAAGCCATTAGAAAAATGGGTATCTTCACAAAATACCATCTTTTTTCCTTGACCCCCACAACTATTATATGGCAAACAGCCTTATCAGAATATAAGCTCAATCTTAGCACAGGTTAATGGCCTTTAGGTCGTAGTTTTCCTAGGGCCAATTTATTTGATATTCCACTAAATAACTAAATATCACTAAATCATTTTAATTTCCAGGCCTACATATTCAAACAAGAACTATATAGCAAGCTGCTACAGACAAAGAACTAGGGTACAAAACCTACAGCAGAAAGAAGTTGTCTTGTCTTCGTATCCCAAAGGCGTAAATAGCTGTCCAGTCCTGAATAAAAAAAAAAGATCATGATATGAGCATTAAGATGGGCATGGCAAACTACATTGATAACAGGAACCTAATAGAATTTTAGCAAACCAAGGAATAATGAAGTGTATTTTATACAGAAAAAAAGGTAACCCAGTTACTACATGTTCTGTAGTTTTTGGATAAGCTTCAGCAGTAATCATGCAAAAGGTAGATGATGAAACAGAAGATATGAATTTGTTCCAGAAAACAAAAAAATTTTAGAAACTAAAAATAAATTGCGATCCAAAGACTGCATCAGAGAATATTCATTATAATTAAACTATATATATATATAAATATGAAACAAAGGCATAACACAGAGCAGTGCTCACCACATGAAGCTATCACAGGTAGCTCAGGGTGCCTGACTATGGATCTGATGCTTCCGGCACATTTTCCAGAAAAACATCCCAACATTTTTCCTGCAATAAAAAAAGTTTGTTAAAATAATTATGATAAAAACTTATTTAAAATGGTCAACAAAAAGAACAACCACCAACTGTTTTTTACCAGGTAAGATCGGTTACATGGATCAAACAATACCACAAGTTTCTGTCATAAATAATAATATCTACAGACAAAATATTGATCTCTAAATTCTTCCTAATTGCTTCACCTATAGTTTACCCTCCATTTGACCCACTCTCCTTGCTAGGACTTCTGTATGCTTTCTTCACATGATCCCAACCCACATAAGTTGGGTTTCTACCACTTTTTCTCCAATAGGTGCTACCCCAATAAGACAGCAGAAGCTAAGCATAATGCATTTGCACCATTTGACAACCAATTGTAGTAACAGATGCCAATAGAAAAGCCACTAAGCCAAATGAAGCTTCTTGTCTTAATCGTATTTACACAAATAATCCCCCCTCCCTCCCTCTCTCATCAATGAAATGAAGAATAGCATAACTATTCATAAGCAATAATTAGAATCTCTCCTAATATTTATTGATATTTACATGGTCATGCCTAAGCTATTTGGGGACTAGTAAGAGAATCCCTTTTCTTGGAACAAGTAACAGAAGCTTAATTAAAGAAAAAGCAATATTCACCAGCATAGAGGTTACACAAGGCATAAAAGTGACACTTCCGGAAGCCAAATTGAAAACCACAAAAAATTTAAGCTGTGTTCCTGAGATAGATACCCCATTATCTTAAGCTTAACCTAACCTTACCCACAAAAAAAAAATATCACTAAATTTTGTCCTCAATAAAGGTACAACACGATGGAATTTTGTTTTAAGCATACTAAAATATGAAATGTTCAACAATTACAAATTTAGTTCAACTGTTCCCTTTTGGGGAAAGAAAAAAAGATCAAGCTGTGACTCAACATTTGGAACTCACAACTTTCAGGTTTACATCAATTGCTATATAAGTGCATCAAACTCTCCCATCTGAAGTGCAAGATGAATTTTTCAAGAGACCAAATCCAACAATCATTGGCAACAAATAACTAACTGATAACATTGTCCAAAAGAAAAATAATTATAGAATCATTATCAATATAAGGAATAAACAAGACTTCAGTCAAGTAAATAGTGTTAAAAGATAGTCACAAATGAAAGATAAGGAACATCAAGGAAAAGTAGTTCACTGTATAATACATGCACAAGTTAATGCACTGTTCTTTAAATTTATGACAACTTTCCCATGACTTTGGGATACCTGTGCGTGTATCAACAGAAGCCATGTCACCAGACCCATTCCCTATATAAATTGTATAACCATCTATATCCTCAGCTAGTGCTTTAATCGGTGTCTCACGGAAATCAAATGAAAGAACAGGTCTCCTCTGAGCAGATATGTCGTAAAGGCGAACCTGTTCAGAAGACCAAGATTGTAAATAATGTGTAATGAGAAAATTATAATTATATAGCTGCTAGTTTAAAAAATAACAAACAGAATCTTTCAATTTCTGAATTGAAAAGTTAACTAAAGAAAATCTGCAGTTTGAAATCATATTACTCACTTTATATTTGTCAATAAAATCAGGAAGATATCACGTGACTTAAAGGTCAAATACTCCACTATTCTTTTTGAAAAAAAGATTTCTCACAAAATATCATTTCTAATTCTCTGGAATTCTACATTGAGAGCAAATTATTAATATATCTAAAAAGTCTCTAGCACACCATGTTCAGGGATATCAAAGAAGAATATTTCATGCGTATTAGAAATAAAAACTATGTTGGTGCCAGCAACAAATTTTTACGGTCATCTTCCTTAGCAAATGTAGCAGACATGAACGTTATATCTCAGAATCAAGATTTGAGTCATATTTTGGATTGTGGAAAGAATAAACCCACTATGTGGCTTGTTTACTGACAGATTGTCATTCTGTCACTTTATCTAACACGATTCTATTCTATTTTGTCATTATAATTGTTATTTTTTCTCTTGAACTGAATAAGTCTCTCTTAATTTTGTTGTAGAAAATGATGATAGTGCAACTTGGTTAAAATTGGCCAAATCATAAAGAATTGTTAAAAAGAGTAAATAATGGGTGGAATCAGTAAAAGATCTGAAAGGAAGAGGATTTTAACCATGCAGATTTTAGTACTCTCAAAAGTTTTCAATCCATGGGCAAGTATACCCATCGATTGTAATAAAAGAAAGCATTGAGAAAATACCTATATTTGCAAATATCTACCCACTGGAGGTAGAAAATAATAAGAAATAAAGCAAATAGAAAACTTGAAGAAAAAATATGAAGAAATTGCAAAGTTGATTCAATATGGATAGAAGTCTAGGGTTTTGGTTTCTTTTTATGATTACCTAGATGTTTATCAATTCAATTATGCTATAGTAATTATCAATCATCTAATCTAATTTTACCACTACTTAATGATCATAGAATAATAAAAAAAATTGTTTATATGTTATTCTAATGATCACAAAAAGTAACAAATAAATAAGATCATTAAGCAACATTAGACTTATCAAACTCAATTAACTGATTGGAAGATTAGGGAATAGATTGATCTTTATTACTCAAACTCAAATTACCTTTCGATTTCATTAATCCATTAAAGGTTTGATTGCCTATTAATTGAAAAAGAATATCAATGGCATAAAATCAAACTGAAGTTCAAAAGAAATTATATCATAAGAATTTACTTCAGTCTCATGGCAAATGATGTTTAGTTACACATAATCATAAAGATAGAAACACTAAAAATTAAACATAGAACATTGATAATCCTAAACAGTGAGTAAAAAAAACCCTTATGGTTGATCTGCTCTAAAAGAAACACCAACTCTGTGATGAAGAACGTCACCCTTGGCAATTATGTAGAGATAATGATCAGAATGAGAGAAGATGTGAGTGTAAATGGTGAAGGAATTTGAGGATGGAGATGTAAAGTTTGTGCCCAAAGGAGGTGGAGTACAAGGTTGAAAATTCAAAATCCAATTTCAAAAGACCAAAGATGCCCTCCAAAACTTCTAAAATTTCTTTTTTTTAGCGTTGCAGGGCCTGAGCATAGGGCATGCTGATATTGAGCACACCCTGAACAAAGAAGACAACAACTTTGAGCATGGGGGTTCAGGCATGCTTCCAATGAAGACTTGAACAAAACTGGTGTTTTTTAAGAGCATATCAACTATGATATCTTTATCACTATTTAGGGTTATGAATGTTCTATGCTTAGTTTCTTATGTTTCTATCTCTATTATTATAAGTAACCAAACACTCCTTACCATAAGGTTAAGGTGAATTCTTATAATGTAACCTTTTTTGATACAATTGATATTATTTGTCAATTAAAATTATCTCTTTATTATCATTAATATTCTTGAATTGACCAATTAAGAGTTAATCTTAGTTAATCAATTAATAAACAATTGAACCTTTAATAGCTTTATGGAATCAATTAATTTGAGTTTATCAGGTATGAAGATCAATCTATCCTTTAACATTCGAATCAATTAATTGAGTTTAATACGTCTAATATTTCTAAATGGTCTTATTTATTTGTTATTTTTTATAATTATTAGAGTAACATACAAGTAAGAAGACTGTGATTATTCTATGAACATTAGGTAGTGGAACTTAAGATTTGATGATTTGCAATTACTATATAATACAATTGAATAGGATTGAATTGAGAGAGATGCAGGTATTCATGAGAAGAAATCGAAGTCTCAGGCTTTTGTCCATATTAAATCAACTTGTTAACTTCTCCATATTTTATGTTCTTCAAGTTTTTTATTCACTTTATTTCTTATTATTTTCAACCTCAAAGTTCTCAGGTTTTAGAACTGCTTAACATTCAAGGAACAATAGTAGTTGATGCTTGCAAATATAGTCTCTGTGAGAATGATACTGGGAAAACATTAACGCTTCTTTTTTTTACAATTTAAGAGTATACTTGCCCATTAGTTAAAAACTTTTGAGTACTAAAACCCTCAACATGTAGTAGAAATAAGAAAATAGCAGGCCAAAATGAATGATAGGGTAATTATATGGCAGGGCAGTTATTTAACAATTATTTAATTGTGTAATTAGGCAGTATAAAATGGTTATTGGTGCCACAGCAATATTTAATTGTAATAGGGAAGTTATATCACAGTTATTTCATTGTATGGTGTGTAGTTACAGGTAGGTTATAGGTAGTTTTCTACTGTACAATGTATTTTCTGTTTGTAAGGCTGAGAACTGTTTCTCAGAGGAGAACCTGGCTCTAAGGCTCGTAGTAATTTATCTACTAGATTTGTGTGTTTGGGTACTCTGTGAAATTTAATAAAGTTCACTTTAAAACCTTATCAGTGAACCAAATAGGTAAATATACCTAGGCTATCTTTAGAAGGCAGCATAGATTAAAAGTATATGTAGAATTAAGCACTATAGAGAGAATAAAAACTTACCTGATGGCTGTTGGTGCCAGCAACAAATTTTCGATGGTCATCTTTCTGAAGAAATGTAGCAGAGGTGAACCAAGTAGGTGTAAATATACCAAGGTTATCTTTAGGAGGCTGCATAGATTAAAAGGATTTGTAAAATCAACCACCAAATAAAGTATGTCCACTAGTAAAAGATAAAACTGGAGGAAGATAAGTTAACAATTACTAACTAAAATGAAAAGTGGCGGAAAGACTCACAGCCTTGGAATTCCAGATCTTCGTGAAATTGTCAAGATCCCAAATATTAATTTCAACACCTTTCCTACAAATAACATATTTTGTTCATTATTTCTCAGCTGGCTTCCTTAAACTCATGAAACAATCCAATTTCATATAAATTTAAGTAATTGATTATGCAGGCCATCCCTAATGCCACTTGAAATTAGCATCCACCAAATAAACAGAGGGCAAGTTGTCAAAGCATTCATGCCCCAGGGGATGGTTATTAGTTTTTACAGTTTAGTTGAGTCAAATGTTATCTATCAAGAGGAATTTGCTCATAATTTATCATATGAAGCAGGCAAGTTTTCCCACAAAGTTGGCAATAGTTTCTGCAGATTTATTACAGGGTTATTGAGTATAGCAATGCAGACTATATGGCTACAGTGACCAATCACAAAGGTTGTGCCATTGGGTACAAAGAAGAGGACAGTCTTTAAAAAGGAATTCCTATGCTAATCATTATTGCAGTGGACTTCCTAGGACAGATCCTCAAAACAAAACAATCCACTATTTGAATGTCCTTCCCTCTTTTCAGTTCCCATTTTCTTACCATGCTAGCTAGGTGACTTGTCTTTTATATTATGTTCTCTCTTCACTATTAATAAAATGTTCTATGATCAAAGTTAAATAAATAATTTAATCAAACTGTTCAATACTCGTTGGCATTCAACTGAACCTTCAAGTTTCTGTGCCACATTTATGCAAATTGTAAACCCTCACCCTCCAAATAAAGCAAACTTCTCATTTCCGTCCACCTTGCAACACAAGATGTTACCACCAGAACATACGTTCCATGTTTTTGAAGAACCAATGGAAGATCCTGTCAGTGAATCAGCAGCTTCAATGGACCTTATGCATGCATTTCCTTTGGTTGTGCACGTAAGTAAAGTATATAACCTAAAAACAATCACCACATACATATGATTAGGAAGTACACAAACACAAAATTAAGTGGCTAGTGGCTACTAGCATTAAGTCATACATACAAGACCACGGACATAAATAAGAGCATAATGCAAGGAATTAATGCATTTTGAACATGAAGGCAAAAGTTCATGTGCACAGAGACTGAAGATATAGCTCTATGTAAATACTAATTGATACAGGTTCAGAATATAGAGATTAACAGAAAGAAAGTAAAGAAATCTACTTTGGATACCCTTCTCCAACTCTGTATCAATGAGTATCCACAGTCAAGATGAGCAAGAATAGTGTACAATGGTGTCTTCCCCAGGAGCGAGAGCCTGATCTCCCCAACCCATAACTAACCACCAATTAACTGACTCCCTTGACATTCTCTGCCTCTATATACAGCAATCTCATTAACTGAATCTAACAGCTTTTCTAACAAAGTCTACTCTCAATTAACAAGGCCTAACTAACAGGGGCTGACGCAGTTGATTCTAGTTTCGACTTTCCATCTTTATTTTTCCAAATTCCCCAAGTGTAAACACTTCGTTAGTAAACCATCTATTAATAAGGTCCATTTCCAGTCTGCAATAGAGGATTCACAATGCATTTGTCATGGTGTGTAACCAAAAAACAGAAAGAACTAATCACACGTTCATGCCAATGCTTTGACTAGACACCCCCCCTCCTCTCAACCCTTATCTATTAAGTTAGCCAGTACATGTCCAAATTCACTAATAAAAAGATAAATAACCCTAATATTCTAAGTTTCTAACAACTACAAAGAAGGATTACATGTGAATGCTAAACAAACAAAGTATTTAAACATCAAAGAAGTTGCATGTATACCCTGTTGCATAAAGAATTGAATTATTCAGAAAAAAAAAAAATTGCACTATTGTTATTGCTCTTCAATACTTCAGTTCAATTAAGTACAGAATCAGAATACAATAGAGACAAGAATAAAAGACAAACTTAAATTATACTGTCAAACAGTAACAATTTATATACCTGGAAGCTAACTCCAAATTCTGTTTTGCAAATAAATGCAAGCCAACAATATTATTCTCTTCAGACCGAAGATCTAAATCACTGTCATTCGAAACTGTAGCCTGAATATCTCCATTTACTGGGCTCAAAACCTCAATCTGTGGAACAAATATAGACAAACTTGAGTGCTAAATGATTAATAGAAAATATCGAAAATCAAATTATTTTGAGAACCCTGAAGCAACTTACCTGTCCATTTTTCCTTGCTACAGCTAATGACTGCAATACCAGAAAAGACAGGAAAATAATAAGAATCTTATTTTTCTGTCGGATTTCTCTATGGTCAAACTAAAAGCAAATTTTTACAGTTATTCGCTCTGATGTGAACCAAACAATGCATTAATTTCACAATGTTGAGGTCTAAGGGTTAAAGGAGAGAATAAAATTGGAAAGAGAAGAGAAGGCATACAGGGTGAGTGTTGCGATGAATCATTGAAACAGCCATAACGGATTTGGATGATTCGGGTTCGCCCCACCTCTCTACCACTTGGGGAACTCCTCGTTGCTTATCACGGATTTCCACAACTAACACAAACCAGAGAGAGAAAAATAAGAAAAAGAAAGTGATGAATGAAGAAAGAGAAGAAGGGTATGGAAAAGGACCTTTGATGAGGCCAAGTGCGTCGAAGGTTAGAGCACGAAGCGGAGGGCAACCCGGGCACTCCAAGGTGGTCGTTCGAGGCATCTTTGTCGAAGCGTAGCAGAGAAGACGATGATGTTGTGTTGTGTTCAAATTACATGCGGCGCTGCTTCTCAAGCTCGAGAAGAAACCAAGCCGTGATGGAGGTCTACTGTTTGAAATATATAAATATTTAATATTCAAAATATATTATATAATTATCTTTAATTTTATCCATTATATAACGATAAATATTTTATAATATATAAATTAGAATAAATCAAAGAGATACAAAATTTAAATTAACAGAAAACATTTAAATTTCAAATTAAATTAAAATTTTATTCTTTTATCTTTGCTAATACAGTGTATCAAATTTTAAAGATTTAATTTAAATTAAGATTACGCAAGATTATAATAATTTTAAATTTTAATTTATTTAAAAATTTATAGTTTAAATTAAATAATTAACATTAAAAATGTCACGTGATGCAATAGAAAATAAGATAACTTTTAAAAAGAAAGAAAAGCAAAATTTAAATAATTTTATTTTTAAACATTTCATAAATTCTAAAATATTTTAAATAATAATAATAATTTTTTATAATTAGTTGAAGTGAAGCAAAGAAGATAATGAAGATTTTGAGTTGTATTATCGTTTAGGAATCACCACAAACAAACATACACCGTTACACCTGACTTCTATGGATTTTTTTTCTTACCATAAAAACTAAAAACACCAATTTAGGAGGAAGAGGAGATGGAAGGCAGCAAGCGTAATTTTTTTTTATTTTGTTTTAATTTTTAAATATATAAAAATTATAAAAGAATGAAAATCAGTTTTTATTTTAAGAAAAATATTATAACAAAAAATTATTTTTAAGATTAATTTTAATTTTTTATGAATATTTTAATATAATGTAATTATTTATTTTTATTTCTTTCTTACTCATCTAACCCATAAAAAAATTATCAATTTCCCTCTTATTTCAATTCATTCAAATATTAACTATTTTTATTTTATTTTTTATCTTCTTAATTTTCTTTTCTCATTTATTGAATTTTTTGTATTTCACCTATCGTCTAAAAGACAGCTTTGAAAAAAGGAACTTGTGAACCGAATAAGTTTAAGTTGACTATTTGAAAACTATTAAGTTTAAATAATTTTTATAAAAAAAATCAAAAATATATTATATAACTATATTAAAATTTTAGAAATTTAAAATTAATAAATAATTTATTTTTAATAATAATAAATTTATTTTACTAAATAAGAATGAAATAAAGAGACAACAATTTAAAAACTAAAAAAATACTTAAAATTTAAAATTACAATTCAATTAAAATTTGTTTCATCTTTATTAATACAGTTTATCAATTTTAAATATTAAATCTAAATTTAGATTAGATAAGATTATAATAATTTAAATTTATATCATCTAAAAAATATTTTACATTTAATGGAGTGTATTAAGATTTAAATTTTAAATTAAAAAAAATCAATTTGAATAGTGCAGCAAGAGTTAGAATTTAAAAATTTCTACATATCTCCCAAAAATGTGATAGTCACTATTAAGATTTAAATCACTTCTATCGTATGTTATTTATTTCAACTAAATTTATTTTCTATTATTTTAATTTCAGTTTTTATTGTTTTTCCTAATAAGCATTGTTTACATGGTTTTATTTCATTTATTATAATTTCCTGAAGTATACCTATATTTATTAGCCTTTGTTTCTTACATTTATAATGTAAATTACTGAAAAAATTTGGTTCCTTTTTCAAATTAAATCAATCTTACAAAAAATGACAAAAATTTACAATAGACAATATCATTTTAGCTAGGATACAAATAAATCAAACTGTCCTGTACAGATATTATGTGATATTGAAAAACTATATATGTTTATTTCTAAAAGTAAAGTTAATCCTCGAATTAAACATTATCATTATAACTATATTAGAATATCGTTGACTTGTTGAATATCTGTTTTACATAGTACTTTAGTCATCATACGTAGAGTCTAAACATTTAACAAGTATAATTACGGAAAATGTTGTTGACTTGTTGAATATTGCATATTTTTGGTGTGCAAAACCAGATTTGAAAATAGTATTAAGAATAAAACCAAAATTTTACATTAATGTAAAATTTTATTTTATTTTCAGTTTTATTCTTTTGATGTAAGGGGAAAGGAGGGGCACTGATTGTTTTGGCATAAAACTTTCGTAAAAGAATAATGTTATTCTTACAACACTTTTAATATTAGTTTTTTATTACTCTGTTGTGTTACATTTTTCTTTCCTTTCTATTTTTCTCCTTGTTGTAGAAAAGAATTATGAAAATAACATCACTTTGCAAGAGGGATAACAACTGAAAAATGTGCATACTTTTGAATTCTCACTACTTACTGAGGAACCCTTAAAATTGGAAAACTGATACAGCATAATAACAGGTCCAATAAAGTTCATCACTTTACATCAGAACAATTCAAGTAAAGTCAACACATATTGGCCTTCTTCTCGCAGTAGCCCCTCATTATGCATGATTAACTTAACATGGAAAAATAAAAAGAATTAGTGATGGAAAATAAAAATACAAAACCTCTCCTCACCTCAACCCTTTGCTTGAAGCAATTAAAAAGGGTGAGTGTGAAAAAGATCAAATGGGTCCTTATCCTTAGCCTATGAAGCATACAACTTGGAAAGTTCTTCCTGTAAATTCTTTTTGATGGTCTCTCTTTTGAGCTTGAGAGCAGCAGTGACTAGGCCAGACTCTGGAGTCCATGGGTCAGAAAGCAATTTAATTTTTTCAGGAATCTCAAATTTCTCCAAATGAGCCTTCTTTGCTTCCTGAAAATACTTTCACAAACTATAACAATGGAAGAGGACTAATAGTACATCATTTGCAAACAAATCACATGTTGATTCAAAGAGTATATGTATACTATACTAGAAAACATGTAGAGTCGATCTTTTCCTTTCAATTATTGAAATTCGCTAACAGGCATTTTTCTCTCGTGACCTTAGTAATATGTTACCATATTGAGTAAATATGTTTAAATATATGTGAACATTATTAAACCTACATAAATTTTATGAAGGCTGAGCTCGAATTAAGGAGCTGTCATATCAGTTTCTTCATCCTATTTTTAAGCTACATAAGTATAATTTAAACATTCTTAATCTTTTATTTATGTTTTTTGTCTTTTTAACTATTCTAACTCATAACATTTATGTCATGAAAAATATCGATTAGTACTTTAAAAAGTGTAATACTGTACTTTCTTAGTGATTTCTACTTCTAATAATTTTGTTTATTTATTACTTTCTTAACTAAATATCTATAGAGCACTTGTTAGCAAGACCCTAACATTATCAGCAGACTTGTAATTTTCTTTTCAACTTATTTAATATCATAACCATTTATATTTTACTATCCCAATTCTTTTCATTCTCTAACGTAACTATTGATCGTTCTCATGAATTATGCATGGGCTAAAAGGTGTCCTCTCAATTGATCTGTTTTCATTGTGATGATTAAGGTACCGACGCAACATCTGGATTTAAATCTAATTAGTATAATATTTAAAGTCTTATAAAGGATAACATAATGAAACATCAGTCTCTCTCATGGTCACAATGAACAAGACAAAAGCAAGTTTTCAACCTTCTATAAAAGGTGGATCACTGGCAGCGATATTCATTAGGATAAAAACAAAGACATTGAATGAGATACATCCACTAAATTAAGGTTCTTACTTGAGTAGGAGGCTAAAAAGTTTCTGATTTTCACTCACTCATGATTGGTAAAGGGTAAAAAATAACATTGAACTTGGTTTTATGCTACGGAAGTGACCAAAATTTGTGGGGTGGAGTGCTAATGTGTTGCAAGTTGTGAATTTCCAACATTCCACATTTTTGTGTACAAAACAAGTGTGAAGTGGTCTTTTCTTTTTTCAAGTTTCCCTCTTGTTCGAACACCCATGGCCTAACATTTATTCCGTTTCTTTTTATTTATCCACTTTTAAATTTTTATTTATTTATATATCTATTGAGAAGTTCAAAACAATATTAACGATTAACTTTTTACTTATGTCCAACCTAATGCTGAAATAATTTATACAGTTATCATGATTGAGAGATAATGTTGAAAGTTATAATAGGAAGTTAACAATCATTTTGATAAAAGTAAAGATATCAATTGTATTTCTTATTCTGTATGTTATCTTCCTCAGGTATAATTTTGGACATAACTTTGAAGTTAATCCTAAAAAGTTGCCTTAGGGTACATTTGTGAGTAGTGTATTAGAGGCAGAGGAAGAATGCCACAAGTATTTTTATTTTTAAATTTAAAGAACTATATAACGTTTATAAAGGTAAATAAAAGATTAATTAACGTATTCATCATTTTATTTTTATTTAAAAATAATGAAATTAAGGAATATTTAACAAATAAAAAATTATTTTCTTCCTTTTTTTTTAAACTTAACTTTCAAACATATTTATAATAATTTCTATCTCTGTATACTATGGAATTATTTGAGTAGAGGGATTTTAGAGAGAAGGAGAAGACAAATTTTTTATTTTAAATAAATATATTAAAAATTATTTTTCAAAAAATTATATAAATTAATATACTAATCATACATTTATCGTTATAAATAATATATAATTATCTTAATTTAAAATTAAAAAATATATCTTTTCCATTCTTCTTAGTCGGATCTTTTCTCAAACATACCCTAAATGTACCTTTTAAAAATCAAAATTAATTCCTAATCATTACTACTAGGTTGATAGAGACTTTTTTTTTTTCTTTTTGGGTAGTGACTGGTGAGTTGTGAGTTGTTAGAGGACTTTACCAAGAAAGCATACCGTTACAAGTGATGCGTGAACCTCCTTCACAGTTTCTTCTTTCGAGCACAGTTCTGAAAAATCATGATAAGAAATTCCTTGCTTTGAAGCCCATTCTTCCAATGCGGACTGAGAACCCACCACAAGTGCCACACAGTAACTATGGAAAGGATCAGCATGAACCATGATATTGTCCACAAAGGGGCTCACAATAAGAGCTGCCTCAACCTGTATTCAATAAATTAGTCATATAGGAAAATACTGTATACTACAAATAAAGGGTTTGTTTGGTGTCAAAAATATCCATACCTTTCCCAAGGAGACATATTCTCCATGCTGCAGTTTAACAATGTCCTTCTTACGATCAATGATTTCAAGGCATCCATCTGGATGAAATCTCCCAATGTCACCAGTGTAGAACCACCTCATTCCTCTTTCATCAACCTAACAACAAAGGTACAACATAACTAAATAAAGACAGTAGCAGATACAACTTTCAAATTCACTAAGTAAAACTTTTACAGCAACAATGGAAAATCACAACTGATATGTTATTCCAATTTGACCCTTTTTTTTTTCACAAGAAGAAGAAGCAAGCAAGGCTTATGTCACCAAGTGAGGTTAGCTATATAAATCACACTATGCCATTGAGTTTGATCAAAAATCAAATTGTCAGAAATATTATTTATCATTAGATCTCTTAATAATTTCCTTTCGTTTGGGTCCCCTCTACCCTTTTTTATCAGATTTAAAAGTCCTGTCAATTTGTCCTTTTTTTGTTCCAGGAAAAGAAAAGATAATCAAAGTTTACCTTGTATGATTCTTTTGTCTTTTCTTCATATTTGAAGTACCCAAGAGTGACATTTGGACCACCAATTACAATTTCACCACGGGGCATCGGCGAGTCCTTGATTAAATATCCACCTTCAGGCCAGTCGATTAGCTGGGGTAAGACAACCAAATGTTTGCATGAGAAATACTCTTTTCCAGAACCACAAGGAAAATTAAACTCTCATGATTAGGTAATCATAATAGAACATACATCACTCAATACAGAAGCCTCACTTACATTGCACCATTATACAAGGAAGAGAACAGATGCTGTCCATTTCTATGATTTACATGCTGGAATCACTGATAATAATATTTAAGAAAACACGGAAACAGTTGACATCACAATATATCTTCCTAAAGTTGTGATTGCCTCCATAAAGTCACAGAGAGTGCATAGATTTGAAATATTTATCAATTTAAAACTATCATACAGTATATAAACTTCAGATAGGATACAATAATATCAGGAAGATTTCAATACCAAATTTAATTGGGAGGGGGGTGTCTTAGAAAAGGTATTTGTTTACCCACTTGAGACTGGAGTGGTAGTGAAAATTAGGTAGAAAACATCGGTTAAAAACAAGAACCTTTGGGCAAAGAATTGAATACAATGAGCATAGAAAGAAAAACCTTTCTACATTGACAAAATTGCTGATAATCTTTAAACATGCCACGAAAGTGTGCTTTACGTGACTTCAAAAGTTTCGCTGAATTATGGTATGTCATCCAAATACAAGACCCTGTTGAATGTTTCCCACTTCCCGTGAAGAATTGCCATCCAAGAAAATTCTCCAATTTCAACTTATTATTTGTAAGGTTGTTGGTCCAATTGCTTTGTGTCCCTTCAGATGCCGAGTGCCACTAGGTTCCAGGGTTGAGGTTGGTTAACTTTGATTCGTTAATTAGCTTGTCCTGGTTGTTTTGTTGTTCTTCTTTGGTCTCTTTTCAGAGGATGCCTTATCCTCTGTTTTCGTAGTTCATTGGATATGTGTATGAGAGTGTTCACATCACAACGGGAATAAGTAAATATAGGGATCTAAACTTTGCATCTTTTTTCTCATGTCATAATTAATTGCCTTCTATCTACTACAAAAGCCAGAAATGTAGATAGAGTACAATATCTTTTGTTAATAAAAGGTTCTACACCTACAACTACAACAAAAGTTTTTTCCTAGTAGGTAATGTCAGCTACATGGATAAAACAACAAATTGTGTTCTGTCAAAAACTCATCAGAGAAGCCGTTTAGATCTACCTTCCAATAGTTTCACATGCAATTTTTTTGGGTTTTCCTCTACCTCTTACTATATTGGGCTATGCATCATCTAATCAACGCTTCTTATTGGGGGCTTCAATTATCTTTTTCTCACATGGTCGAACCATCTTTTAGTCATGGTTCTACCATATTTTCGTCAAGGGGTGCTACTACTTTCTTAGATACATTCATTTCTTTTGATCATATCTATTCTTGTGTGTCCTGGACGCTTATCCATCTTATCTTATATGGTGGAAGTGGAATATCTTAAGTCAGAAATGTAGATTAATTGTGGTCATGATAACCTGATTGAGAAGAATGATTTCATTAAACAGCAGTATGAAAAGGAAGTTCATATAACTTCACAATGAATAACAATGCAGAATTTATTTGTGTAAACTTGAAGTTAAGCACTAGGAGTGGGCAAGTGGTGAGCAGTTTGAGTAGTTTGGATAAGATCATAAAATAAACTACCCTCTTTAAGTTGTATGAAGGTAAAGTTGATCTGATCTATAATTACCTTAATAAATGAACAAGGAAGAGGTGGTCCAACACGGCCAACAGATGTATCATCAACGTCAGAGAATGTTCCACCAGCACAAGTCTCTGTAAGACCATATCCTTGACCTATTGGAGCACTGTAAATGACTACAGAATATAAATATGACAGAAAAATAATATAGGAAACACAAAAAGAAAAAATGAAGCAGCACTACAGTAAAAGCCAGTAATATTTGCTTTACCAGAACACTCAAGATTGAATTTAGCATACCCTTTCCTTTCAAAATGATTGATTCTAGTAATACATCCTATAGAAGGCCATTCCATTCATGGCAAATACAGAAGTTGAATTTTCATAAGAAAAAATGCAGACCCAGAGAAGTTTAAATCCAATTATAGCATATCATTCACAGGTCTAAACAGAGAGGAGCATTTTACAATTGAACTTTTTGTTTCAAGCCTTGTGTCCAAACATTTTTATAATACTCACACTTTTTGTGTTTGGTTGAGATTATTTTGGGGAAAAATAATCTTTTTTTTTTCTTTCAAAAGCTGTCAAAGAAAAATCTTTGTTTCTACAAAAATAAGCTGCACCAGATCATCATCAAGATTGATAGAACAATCACCATATATTTCTTAAGTCTAACTGATCCTTAAGCTGGTCCTCGAGGTTTAGAGCTCTAATGCTCAACGAGCATCATAGAATAAGTAGTTGGCATTAATTAACTGTAACTATTGCTAAAGAGATACTACCTTAAAATATCAACAATTTCATTTCAAAGTTAAAAACAGGTTAAAGTTAGACATAACTGTGCATGCTATAATCCAGCTAGGTTTGAGTTAATGTCTCTTTCTTTTTTAGTATGACTTTTGTGTTATTAATGTTTTTGGTTTCTTACAGGAAGATATCTTAACACTAACTTTTCTTCACTAACTTTCTTCTAAACACCTTTTATTTGAAATATACATACATGTAAACATATATATAATGATAAGACTAACCCAAGACAAATATTGATGAATTTCTGGGTATCACCAGAAAGGGGAGCACCACCGGACAATATAAACCGGATACGACCACCCAGAATTGCTCGGACCTTTTTAAACACAAGAAAATTCCAAAGAGCCTTTTCCAAGCCCCAAGCTCCAAACCAACTACCATTAATTGCATGCAACCTTCGCGCATAGGCTAAATGAAATAACTTCTTTGGTAATCCTCCTGTTGCATTTACCTGCATTGCCAAGCTCAAGTCTTCAGTCTTGCCCCATTTAACTGTTTAAAGGCAGGTTTCATGCAACTAGCTTACTGGCACACACACATATTACTCTTGACTCCTTTATGCATGAGACATAACATAGGCGTGCATTCACACGAGTCAAAAATCAAAGTACGGGTACCTTCTTGAACACTCCATCACGAACACGGTCAAGAATTGCTGGTACAGCTGCCATTAAAGTTGGCATCAGTGCAGTAGCATCCCCCTTTGTTCCTTTTTTTATCTTGTTTGATGTATCAGTCAGAGTCAAAGGAGATCCATATCCTATGGGAACTCCAACAGCTGCCATCAAATTCTAAAATGTGTTCGAATTTGTCAAAGCATGAAATGAAGGAAAAGTAAAAAACAGAAGAAAAGAACATGGAAAAATAGAATGTCCTCAAACAAAAACATTTGTTGAATCTATTCCGAAAAGTAAACCCACATACCTCAGCAGCTAATTCAAGGATATGAGCCATGGGTAAGTACGCTAGATATATATCCTTTATCCCAATGTCAGGAACAATAGTCATCACAGCAGAGAGTGTAGCCAAGACATTCCCATGTGTCATCATCACACCCTGTGACAAAAGAAAGAAAGAAAGCAGGAAATTAAAGAAATGGTGCAACAATATAAACAAGAGAAAGACAAGGAAGCAGTAAGAAAACAACGACAAAAGCCTTATCCTACTAAGTAAAGTCAGATCAGAACAGCAAGAACTCAAAAAATTACAAAAATTACAGTCCAATACTCAAATCTAAGATATTATTTAGAACTGTCAATCCAGTGAAAGGATTTAAAAAGTTGAAATTGGAAGGGATACAAATCTCAAAGATGCTTCTAACCTTAGGTAATCCTGTACTTCCACTTGTATACATTATAACTGCAACATCTGCTGGAAGAGGTAAATCAGCGTCAACAGGATTTTCCCTACCAAGTTTCTCAACCTCAGCAAAGGAAGTGATTGTCCAGCCATTTGCAACAGATGAGGCATCAAAGGGGATATTATCATCCATGCATATGACACGTTTCACCGTGTCTAGTTGTCCGCTAATATTTACAAGTGTTCTCAATTCTTTTTGTCCACAAATCACTGTTGTAACCTCTGTCTGGCGCAGAGTTTGAAAGTGAGTTCACAACAACAGAAAACACATGAACTTAAAAATAATGGCAAGCAAATAACCATAAAAAAAAAACATTACAAGTTGAGCAGCCACGTGATGTTCAAGTTTTCAAACAAGACAATTATAAACAATAATATCTTATTTGTTTCTCTACAAAACTTATAAACTCACTATCAATGCTGACCTCAAGAGCCTTGTGCTACTTGTTTGTATTATGCCATTTTAGGATGTAGCCAATAACATGTTTGGTCAATTGGGTTGAAGAGGACTACGAAATTGTAAGCTGCATTTTATACATTGACATTTTTTGTGACATAGAATTGTCTTCATGGCATCTCTAGTGCTTTGCAAGATTGCCACAAAAACTATAGGGAGGCATTTACTAGAAAAGGTATTTATTATTTGCATACATCAATAGAGACCGTATAGTTTTAGAATTTTTATCACACTTTCTTCGTGCAATTTCTCGCATGTTATACAGGAGTAATAGTGGGAAGAAAATCATACATCATACAAATAAATGTGGCAAATTCCTATCTATCTCTAGTGTGAAAAATAAGAGAAGAGAGGGTCAGTAAGAAAAACCTCATTCAATGAGTAACATAAAGCTTCCTCTCCCAATGATGCATATATAGTCACAACTGTTACATTGCGTCTGAAACAACCCTGGAAGGTAAGCAAGGGGAAAAAATGAAAGAAAAAACAAGTTAAAACACTTCTCCCTCCAATTAGACATCATAAATATTTTTATTTCAAAAAAGGATAAAATAAGTGTTTGTAGGATTGTAATTAATTTGCACAACTAATCACCTTAAAATGGGTGTATCACAGGTAGTTTCTATTGCACAGTTAACTCGACAAACTTAATTGGTTTCAAAGAGCACTTTTTTATTTCTTAAATGAGCTTTCGCGATCAATTTTCATGATATAAAAGATTGATAATGCAATAGAATTTTGATTATAAAAAAATGAAAATAACGGTCACAATCGTGGACAAAAAAAAATTAAAGAACAATGCTGTTTGGTACCCAAAAATTGAGTAAGAAATTTAACCAATCGTGTAAGGGTAGTTGAATTTACTTTACGCAGAAAGAATTATTTTTATCAATTAAAATGTCATTTTTCACCACCAAACACAGATTAACTTTCTCTTATTCCAACGTTTCATGAAGACAAAAGAATGCCGAGTTTCCATTTGTAAAATTTCATGTTCAAAGTTTTTTTTTTTTTTTTACTAAAACATTTTCCAAAATTAAAATAGAATCCCCATCAATGTTTTATTAGATAAAAACAAATAGTTGAAACTCTCATTTAAAAAATAGTGATCTTTGAAATCAGTTTGATATAAATTATGTTAAAAATTTTATATTTTTAATAATATAAGATGGACTACATATTATTTATAACATTTATATTAGTTATTTATATTTATATAAACTTAATATAAATGATCTAATTCAAGTGAATCTTTTAGGTTACAAATAAAATAAAATAAAGTAATATAAGTGGAAATTAAATTTTAGGTCTATTAAGGGAATAATAAGAATTTTAATAGGACTAAAACAAAAAGGGTGGTCGTGGTCTCACCATTAAAGAAAGATAGTAAGCTTCATTGGGCAATAAAGAGATCTGATTGAGAAAAATCATAGTATCAAAGGTTCTCAAAGATCATTCACCAAAAGATTCAGATTCTACTGCGTTTAAGTCATAGAGCTCTATGAACCCAGGTATTCCTAAACTTTTTTTTTCTTCAAAAACCTAGCATAATGTAAATTTGGTTTTATGGAGTTCTATTAGGATTAATAGAACTTAATCCAACAAGTGGTATCAAAGCCAACATTATTGTTAGGTTATTAATAATTATAGAAATCATGACTTAGGTTCTTGAAATTTGTAGAGAATTGCAACCTAAGATTGTTTTTTGAAATTGGTACTATTTGCATTGATGCATAGTCATGCTTAAGGATATGTTAGGCCATGCTTATATGTAAGGTCGTGCGTCTACCTTGGTAATTATAATTTAGACATATTATGGACCACCCTCCTTTTTCCGTTTGTGTTTGTCTGATAATTTTAATTGAATTAGTTAATACAATATAGTTGCCAAAGTAACCTTTGCTGTAGTAATTAATTTAATTGAAATTACATGGATGTTAGTATGAGATTATCTATGCGAATTGTGCTCAGCTCAAAGGAAGACGCAATTTGGACAGATAATAGAATGTTTGTGATGGCTGATGATAACTATGTGATAATTATAAGGTTATTTTTTATGTGAGCAATAGTCGGTCGTAAGAAAGTCCTTTGTTTAACAGACTTATTGTCGATGTTTGATCATTACGTTGAGAGTACCACTTATAAATTGATTTCTATGTCCAAAGACTAAGAGCCGATGTTTGTGCTTGATATCTTGTAATGGGTCTGTTGCTATCTACTTGAATTGTATTTATTTGTATTGTGAACGTGTAATTAATTTATTTTACCCTTTTCTAGTGTCTACTGCTGGTGCTGTAAATGTTTCTACTCAATTAAATATTATCCCCAAGTTGAATGGAACAAATTTTAAGGTCTAGAAGGAAACTGTAGAAATAATTCTGGATTGTATGGATTGCGATCTTGCATTTCAAATTGCGAAACTCACTTCTACTTCAGAAAATGCTAATGTAGCAAAAATTGAGAAGTGAAAATGCTCTCTAACCGTATGTGCTTAATGATCATGAAAAGGTTTAATGCCAAAGCATTTCTAAGAGTGAAAATGCTCAAGGTTTCCTAGAAGCCATTGAGAAATATTTTGCCAAAAATGAAAAAGTTGAGGCAAGCAGTTTGTTGTCTAAGCTTGTCTCTATGAAGTATAGAGGCAAAGAAAATATAAGGGAACATTATGAAAATGTCCAATGTTGCTTCAAAAGTAAAGGCACTAAAGTTGGAGTTGTCTGATGACTTACTCGTACGTTTTGTTTTGATTTCTCTTCTTACACAATTTGGACAATTTAAGGTGAGTTATAATACTCAGAAAGACAAATGGTCCTTAAATGAGTTAATATCTCATTGTGTGCAAGAAGAGGAAAGACAACAAAAAAAAGAGGACATAGAGTGTTCATTTGGTTTCTAGCTCTCAAGACAAGAAAAGGAAAGTAACCAAAGATGCTGTAGAAGGGTCTTCTCAGCAAAAGAAACAAAAGATAATTTATATATGCTTGATGTCGTTAGCTCCCGTAATGAAATACAGCAAATAAATTCAAAAGGAATAAAGTTAAAAGTAAATGAAAATTCAATCACCTTATGGCACAAGCACTTAAGCCATATATCTAAAGAGAGAATTCAAAGACTTGTGTTGAATGAAATCTTGATCCTTTAGACTTATCGAATTTTGAAGTTTGTGTTGAATGAAATTCTTGATCCTTTTAAGTGTTTTGAGGTTTAAGATGAACTTTAACTTGAAAAGAAAATTAAAGCTTTCAAATATGACCATAGTGGCGAATACTACGGCAGATATGACATATCACGAGAGCAACATCTAGGACCTTTTGTGTTTTATTCTCAAAGAGTGTGAAATTGTTCTGCAATACACTATGTCGAGCAAACCTAGCATGAACGATGTAGTAGAACAAAGAAATCAGACTATTAACGACATGGTGAGAAGTATGATTAGTCATTCTTCTTTTCCAAAGTCAATTCGGGGAGAAGCTCTAAAGATTGCAATTTACATCTTTAATAAAATACCAAGTAAAGCAGTTAATAAAACTTCTTATGAGCTTTGGACTGATAAAAAGCCAAGCATTAGACACTTGTACATTTGGGATTGTCCAGCTGAAGCACAACTTTCTAGGTCACAAGAAAGAAAGTTGGATTCAAGAATTGTTAGTTGTTATTTTATTGGTTATCCTAAACACTTTCGGAGATACAAGTTTTACAATCTCACCTCAAGATTATTTTTTAAAACAAGAAATGCAAGATTTCTTGAGAAAGTTAAGTTTAGGAAGCAGGAGACCATAAAGAATGTTGTCTTTGAGAAATAACTTGTCAATGACAGTGATCAAGCTCATACCTATTATTGTTCAAGAAACAATTCCAAAGAGTGATGTTCAAACTATTGTCCCCGAAAATATTTTAGAACAAGACAACAATGAGGTTCTCCTTTAAATACCTATAGAGCAACCTCAACAACTTCAAAAAGTATCATTAAGAAGATCCACGAGCGAAAAGAGAAGTGCAATTCCAAATGATTATCTTGTATTTCTTCAAGAACATGAAGATATCATTAATTTGATAGAGGAAGATCCAATTAACTTCTCTCAAGTTATAAGTAGTTCTAATTCTCAAAGGTGGATGAATGCCATGAAAGAATAGATGAACTCTATACAAGACAATCATATTTGGGATATCATCGAATTACATGAAGGTGTGAAACCTATTAGTTGTAAATGGATATTTAAAACTAAGAAGGATTCAAAAGTTAATATTGAGAGACATAAAGCTCGTTTAGTTGCTAAAGACTTCACTTAAGACGAAGGCATCAATTACAAATAAACTTTTTTTCCAGTTTCCTCAAAAGATTCTTTAAGAATAATAATGAGTAGTAGCTCATTATAATTTAGAGCTCCATCAGATAGAGGTTAAGACTGTAATTCTAGGTGGCAATATTGAAGAAACAATTTATATGATATGATAAGTTTGTATTTTGACATGTTTTTATAGCCTATATATTGATGAATGATCATGATTTTACTTGATTTTTACACTAATTTATATATTAGTTGTGCATATTAATATGAGAATAACACAATTAGATTTTCGGTGCATTTTGGGCCTAGATTGAGTGAAAAATAGGACTTTGCTACAGTTAGCACGCCTAGACTCCAGCAGCCAACACGAGAGTGTTTCAACCACATGCACGACTATACTCATTTACGGCAAGTATAATTATGAAAAAATTTTAGGGATCTCAAACCCTATTTAAAGGAACCTCAGGGGCAACGATTGAGGACATCCTATCTATCTTCCTGTTTACATGTTTTGACTTTGTTTCTACCTCATCCCTTTCACACTTCAGAGTCATCTCTTTCATCATATTCTTGGTGGAACTTGGAGTTTTGAGTGACCGTACTTGAAGACCGGTAACTCATCTCATCCTCAACCTTTAGGGACATTTTAGTTTGCTATTTCCTTTTGACTATAACTTTATTCATGAGTGTTTTAGTTTTTTTCTTTAGTATAAGTAACTAAGTCCATAACTAAGGTTATGAGAATTTTTATTCATGAATTAATGAAATTATGATATTTGAATCTAAGTTTGATTTCTATCCATGATTAGTGTTTATCTTATTACGCATAATTGTATGTTGTGAATTAATCACTCGTAATATAACCATAATTAATTATATTGTTGGCGACCTTACTTCGATTAGTTAATGGATCTCTAGGAAAAAATGAGACAAAGGATATTATGGATATCTTACATGACTATTGTGGATGTTAATTTAGAGAAAAGAATATTAATATTACATGATCAATGAGTATTGATAGTATTTGTATGAATGATTGATAATCACAAGTAAATTGGATTTAGAGTTAAATAGAAGAATAACAGAAAGGATTGAATGAATAAATTCATATGCCCTAAGTTCTTCTCGTATAAGTCAACTAAGAACTGCGTTACGTTACTTGCTCTTAATTTCATTGATAACTAATTTAATTTTTAATCCTTATTTTTATTTTCGTATCCTTTAAATTTTAAACAATTGAATTAAGAAATTTTTAGTAATAGGAAACAATTTTTCTGGTACAATAATTCAAAAACTTATTTTAGAATCCTTTATTACTGTTCGATGGGTACACTTGCCCACAACATGATGCAACCAAAAACTTTAGTGTTAAGTGACTCAAAGTCTATGGTATGTAAACTAAAAAAATCCATTTATAGTCTCAAATGAGCTTTCTGCCAATGGTATCACAAATTCCATCAAGTTATTATCTCGTATGGTTTTGAGTCAAACATGGTTGATAATTGTGCCTAGCAATGTTATTAAAATCATGATTTTAATCACAAGATCGTACAATCTTACAATTTGTACCTTGCCCTGCGATCTTGATCAAAGTTAGGTCAGAAAACAGCAAGATCGGGTGAGATCCCAATTTTTCTCCTTAGGATTGATGATCCAATCCAATCTTGGTGCGCTGGTTTTTGGGTTAGTTTTTGGACTTGGGTTTCTGGGTCAATTTTTTGGGACCCAGTTTTTAAAAACATTTCTAGGATAATTTTTTACCCATTTTGGTGTTCTCTCCCATGCGACAACACTCATTTTATATGCTAATAATAATACGAGTACAATTAAGTCAAAATTAATAGAAATTAAGTTTTTGGTTGTCAAGGAAATAGTTCAGAATAAGTGAATTTGTATAGAACACATAGGGAGTGACTTTATACTAGCTGATCCATTTACTAAGGACTTAATACCTAAAGTTTTTCATGAGCACACTCCTCATATGGGTGTAATTCCTAATTGTTCTTAGTTTGAGTGGGAGTCTCATTTGTATTCTACCTACTTTTGTTTGATACAAAATGAATTAAATGTTTATTTCTATTCTGAGCTTGTTTTTTTTTATTTTTTTTATGCAATGTCTGCATTGCAATTTTTTTATTGATCTCTATAAAGATTAAAGTTTAAACCAGTTGAAAATAGACATAGTTAAGATCACACTACATGTAATTTTCATGCCATTTATCTATATTTGATATGTCATTGAAGTACATGTGAATGTAGTGATCATTGTAATTTAATTACACAGAGATATGATGAACTACAGTGGTTCTCTATTCTTGTATGGGATGGACCACGTTGTTCAAAGGTAGTTTAAAAGTAAATAACTATAGTTGCACACTTAAAATTTTTATAATATAAATGTCAAAATAAATATACAATTCAAGTAAAAGATTGTTAGAAATTTTATTATTTATATTTCTAATAATATAAAATGAGCTACATATTATTTATAATATTTATATTTATATAGACTAAATATAAATGATTTGATTTCAATGAATCTTTAAACTACAAATAAAATAAAATAAAATAAAGTAATATGGGTTTAATAAGTAAAAACTGATTTTTAGATTGAAAAAGAAAAATGAAAATCTTGATAAGACTGATATACAAAGGATAGTTATGATCCTCAATACATAATACATCATATTTAAAAAGATAATTTACTATTATTCCATAAAAAAAATCATGCTTTATTATATAGGATAAAGAGATCTAATTGATAAAGATTATAGTAATAAAAATTCTTAAAAACTATTCACAAAAAATTCAGATTTTGTAACATTTATGTAATAGAGTTTTATGAATCTAAATATTTTTAAATTTTTATTTTTATTTTTGTCTTCAATAACCTAACATTATTCAAAATAATGCTAATTTTATTCAATTTTTATAACAATTTTCAAAATAATTTTTTTCTCCTCCATCACCTACTTTATCTCATATTTTTCTTGTTTCTTTTTCTTAAGAAATAACACAGTCTACCCCAAAAGAAATTGTCGTGGGAAGACCGTTAGGCTATTTCAAGAGTGAAGTGAACCTTGTAGAAGTAGTGCCTGTCTAGCGTGTACAAAATGCCACGTGTAAATTTATATTTTATTATAGAAATTATATACAATGAACCGGTCCTATTTCTGTCACTTGCCCATCTTTAATTTTTTATTTCTAAATTCTTTTAGCCAATAACATAAAACTACGTTGATTCGTACTGGATTCATCGGAAAACCTTTCCTACTCATCAGCATTGTTCTTTTACTTAGAAATACAATATCATCTTAATTAACCACATAAAGATATTAATATACTGTTATAATCTTTTTTTAGCGCAATAATTTCAGTTTATTGTTATTTTTGGTTGAAATTGTATGTTCTTTTAAACCGAAGCAGAAACTGAAACAGGAGAATAGGCAGCAGAACCTGAAGCGCAATGAACCACTCTTGGCGCGTGTCAGCGAAGATAGCAGCACGCTCTTCCCTGACATGTCCAAGGTAAGCCAAGCCAGAGGCGAAGCTCGAAACGCCATGGAAGACTTTGTCGTATGAGAGCCACTGGTAATCCCCCAAGTGAAGCTTCTCAAACGACCTGCCGTCATGGCTAGTCTCTACTTCCCTGGACAGCACGCTCCGTGTCCCCAGAAGGAGCCTCTGCGCGTGCCTCCTACAGGCCTCCTCGAACAGCTCGGCGAGTGTGGTGACGCCTTCCCACGCGCTCTCAACCGGTGACTGGAACCGGCGGTTGCGGAGTGCCAGACCGGGTTGGCCCCCCACTTGGACCGGAACGCCGCGTCGTTTTGGATCCTTTGAGTTGCGGAGGAGAAGGGTGACGAGGAGAGGGATTATGACACCGAAAATGTAGGGACTCATGATGGTTAGTTAGATAGTTAGTGTATGTGTGTGAGAGAGAGAGATTAACGGAGGAGATAGCAAAGAGAAAGAGTGTGCGTTAGAAACGGTGGTGAGAACGAGGAAGTGGTCGTCGTTGGAGTTTCAGTTGATAACGAGTTCCCCTATCTTGGGTTGGCCCTTTCGCTTAGCTTATGTGCTTTTGTCGTCAACGCTTTTTTGTTTCTTTCAAGTTTTGATCGATCCTTCCCTTTTCTTCTTTTGGATTGGCTTCTCCACCTCCAGTTAGATGCTTCCAGCAAGCACGGAGCCACACAAATATTCTACATTATTTTTTTCATTTTTTATTAACTTTCATTTTTTAATTCAGTTTACCTATTTCAAAGAATTATTTTTAATTATTTAAATTCAACTAGATTAATATTTTTTATTTTATTAATTTTTTTGTATCTTCTTAATTTATAAAAAAAATATACATATTTAGTGTATAATTATTATTTCTGAAAACAAAATTAATCAATTCCCGGTTTCCATTTTATCTATCCAACTAAAAAATAAAATTCATATTCTTATTTAAATTTTGTTAATTAATTTTTTATATAACTAATTAAAATTAATAAATAAAAATTTATTGTTAAAAATTATATTCAAATTACAATAAGAGTATGTTAATAATATTTGGGATGTGAGAGAAGAGGATTTTCTCTAATTAATGGATGAATCTTATTTAAAAAAAACATATATTTTACATTTTTAATTTAACTACATATAAAAATAGAAATGTAGAATTATGATCTTTATCCAAATTTCATAAATTATACAAGGTAGATTTATTCGTAGAAAAATGCTTCTTAATTGCACTCACAATTAAAGATACGTAACTTAATTATAATGAAATTAATTGAACTTTTATGTTTACCTTTAAAATTATCATAATGAATGAAAGAATATATAAGGGTATTTTTAAAGTAGGATTTTCACAAGTTGTTTTAGTTATATTATATTAATTTTTATATAGTTCTCACAACAATACATCACTTTTATTTTACTATTTAAATAACTCTCATTTTTAATCATGCAACTCTTCAAAATTCATTAAATGAGTCTAACAAGTTACTCTACATTCTCATATATCATCAACATTTATTTCAATTTTAAACAAAAATTGTTAACTTATTTATTTTAATTTTGCACATAATAAATAATATAAATCGTTTATCAATATTATCTATGCAATTATAAATTGAAACATTATAAAAACATAACAAATTATAATAATTATTTTTTTAAAATAATACAAAAAAATAGCATTATAAATTTAAGATAATATTTAATTTTGATTATTTTTGTAGTCAAAACATTTTCAAATATTTTCCACCAAGCTTGCTTGAAATTGACAAGGAATTTGGTTGCAACAAATAAGTGTTATCTTTTGTAAATATGTTGCAAGGTTAGCTCGGCTTTGCAAGTATGTTGAAAGATTGGGATGGGATCATTTTCTAAATGATCATAGGAATAATCGAAAATATTACCATACTTGTGTCATTTGTCTTTGACAACTACGTTATGTAATGTAATTGATGCATATAAGATATGTTTGACTATACCCATATGCATGTGTCAAACACATGACTAAGTACATATAACTGCAAATTGAGATTGGAACACTTCAAATGCTCACTCAACATCCTTTCATGTTCATTTTTTGTGTTGTGCAAATACTTTTTTCTATCTCTCCGTAGCATTTGAATGCTTTTAACAAATGTAGTCTGTTCTAAATAATGTTGTTTGCAAGATAGAACACTATAGTATATTGAGCTTTTTATTTACTATGTATTGTATCTTAGGAGTGTTTCCTTCCGATGGTCGTTAAATTTAGCATATTGAAGTGGTTTGAATCTACAACTCCAAAAAAATGCATGTGAAATCCACAAGTATTGTGATGCTACTAGTTCGAACATGATTATGGGTTTGCCATTATCACCTTGACAAAATTGTTCCATGCTATGTATAGAACAAATTTATCATTCACAATACATACAATCAATGCTACCTAACATACCTAAAAAATCAAGTACCTCTCCCATTTGTAATATGCATTGAATATTGTTGTTGTTGATAGGCCTCCTTATTTCAGCTCCAAAAACTTTGTTCACTCCCTTGGCAAAATTCTCCAAGCATTCCACTACAATGCTTTCACCAATTTGTACATATATAGTCATTTACACAATCAAGAAGTGATCCATATTGTCTATTTCACCCGTTTAACCTGCTCACCATCTTGACCGAGACTTGTCTATTTCAATTGATGTCTCTAATAATAATGGATCATAGTATAGAAATATTGGTTTACTTCAATTTTAAAATATTTAAATTAAATATGATTGAATCTGACCTATGTCTACCCCTAATAAAATCTAAATAATGCTAGACAGAATTATGACCAGCTATTTCTAGCCACTTACTTCCTATGTTAGTCGGACCACATAGATGTGGTTGTGATGGTGGAAGATTGATATACTCATCCATGATTTGTCAGCAGCTCTCATGCTTTGAAACTCTCTTTAAGACTTTGTTTGGTCTTAAGGGATCACAACTCACTCTCACTTCTCATCCTTTTTTCTTCATGTTCCACTTCGATAGATTATTGATATAATTATTTTTTTTAATACATGTCTAAGAATATGTAATAAAAATTTAATAAATATTTTTTAAAAAAATTATAGCATTTAATGTTACTAATGTATCATATTTTATAATTTTTAATAAAAAAATATTTTATTTAAGCTTTTATTGTGTGCCATTAAATATATATTAAAAAAACCTCTCATTAAAAATATTAAATTAGTGCTTTATTTTCTTTTCAATCAGTTTGATCCTTCAATTTATCTTTTTGTTTGGAATTTGTCTTCAAATGTCTCTAACACGAATAACCTTTAATTTTAGTATTATCAAGCGATTGCAGAGAACGAGGCCGTTTGAATATGTAAGCTAAAAAAAAGTTTTCAATGTTAGAAATAATATTAAATAAAGATAACAAGTAGAATTATGGATTCAGTTCACACATAAAAAGAAAACATTACTTTCAATAATAATAATAAAAAAAATACAACTTCGTAATAATTAAAAAGTTGAATGTATAAAGTAAATTCAAAGAATAAGTTTAGAATATTCTGGATTGAATCACACCATAAAGCATTGTCTTTATAAAAAAAATTCTTAAAAGAATAAAAATTAATGAACTCTTTAATAATAAGTTCACTCATCAGACTAATCGATGCATTTATATATATATGACTAATATCTATTATTATTATAATTGACAGCTTGCGTTCTTATCCAGACATTCACTGCCAATATTGCAAAAAGCAACTAATGAATTGCAATTTAATCAAACGAGCGAAATAACAAAAAATGAGATCGAATTGGAGATTTGCTTCATATAGATTATGTTGTCGATTAATGGGGGTTAAACATTGGTTTAGAACTAGTTAAAAGCTTTGACACAAATTTGAAATGTTTATTAACAAAAGGATTAAAATAACAACACATGATGTAAGTCATGAGTTTGGTATACCATCACATGGCGATATTCAGAATGCAAGAAAAAGGTAGAAAAATATAGTGCTGATGCGAAGACGAGGAAACAAGTTCCTAATCTCATTATGTTGCTTAAAAATAAATAAAAGAAAGTGACATATATTAAAATTAGGTGTAAAATTTATGCACTTACGCTGTTAAATAACTTCATGCCAAATTGATTGTTAAAATTTCATGATCAAATTGACATATTTTCAAATTAAGAAGGTGAAGGCAAGAGACTTGCACAAAAATAGTAAAGTTTAAGGGGTTGTAATCACTTATTTTGTTCTTTGAAATAAAATATTACATTAATCTTTAACTTTTATCTTTGTCAGATATTTTAGTCCTTAGACTTAGATAGTATTAATAGACAATAATAGAATAGTAACATGTCACGTCAAGTGACACTTGTAAGTGATTACGTGGTAAAAATAATATTTGTATGTGGTATGATATATACTTCCTTCGGTTTTTTTTATAAGAAATAAAATAGAGCATTTTTTTAGTCTTTATTATAAGAAACAAATGATAAATTCAATATGCATCAATTGCTAAATTTCTTTTATACTCTTTTTTATTAATATCATTAAATATATAAATTACTAACTATAACATTTAATGTCATAGATATTTTTGGAATAAAATTTATATTTATAGAAAACATAACATAATTAATTACTTTTCTTAGTCTTAGTGATTTAATCTTTTATTTCTTATAAAAAAGACCAGAAAGAGTATTTTCGTTTCATTTTAGTCTTTGAGATTATCACTTATCAAGTATTTTAGTTTCTAAGATTATCACCGACAAACATTTTAGTCTTTGCTCTTAAAATTTTTCAACTATCCATCCTTCTTCTTTATTTTCCTGGAAACCACTTTCTCACTATAATCATCCTGAGTCTCTTTCTCCCTATATCTTTCTTACTTTTAGCCATTCTCTAAGGTGTCCAATAAAATCTCCTTCACCACACCAACAAAAGAACTTAAAGAAGTGATGGAATTGGTAGTTTAAAAATCTTGGATATAGGTTGTGGTAGTGAAGGCCAGATTTGCCAGGCTCAATATGCCAAATATCTGAAAAACACAAATACAAGAATAGAGCAAGGCATTGAGTAGTTGCATCTAATAGATGGGATTTTAGACCCCCACATCCTTTTTCTGTTGCCCATCTTAGTGACTTTGATTTCTTTAGTGTTGTATTTTTTTCCTTTGTTGTAATGGTCAAGAAGGAATGAAAAGAAACTTTACTTTTCACTTTCTGCTGTAGATGCATTTGTAGTTCTAACTTTGTTGATTGATTCTAGTTCCAATCTAGAATGATATTGTTGATGGTCTTATTTTTTCATTTGCTCCTATAGCCTAAGTATATTTGGTTGTAATATATGCGTTCTGCAGTTATCAGAGATTTAATGTAAAGAAAGTATTCGGCATATGAGAGAGTGGCTAAGAGTAAGAAAGAGAGGGAGAAGGAAGCTAAGAATGATTATGATGAGAGTGGTAGTTTCTAAGAAAATGAAGAAGAAGAAAGATAGGTAGTTGAAAGATTTTAAGAGCAAGGGACTAAAATGTTAATCAATAACAATCTCAAAAACTAAAATGTCTGACAGATAATAATTTCAAGTACTAAAATGAAATAAAAATATATATCATACCACATATGACATTATTTTTCTCACATAATTAATCACACATGTTACTTAATGTGACATGTCAGAATTCTGTTACTGTCTAATAACGGTATTTGTGTCTAGAAACTTAAATGACCGACAGAGATGAAAGTTAAGAATTAACATGACATTTTAAAATTTTAAGGACTAAAATGTCTAACGCTTACTATATTAAGTAACAAAATGTGAGTTTAGTCTATTTTAAAATGATAATTGAAGTTCAAAACATATTACAAAATAAAGGAAACAACTAATTAAATTGTGAAACCTAAGACACCTCATTTGCACTTTTATATAACTTGTGTAAATCTCTTATGATATGACATAGTTGAATGGTATAGCTGCCTCTTAATCTCTTGCATGCCACTTTGTTCTAGAGCTCATCAATTCCAATAAAATGCATTTCAATTTTTTTTTTAAATCATAACCTCAACCTCGTTTAAAATTAAGTAACAAAATGAAAGAAGATTTTTTGATAAATTATAAATATCAATATTCTCTATTCTTTTTAAAACTTTTTTCATTTACCTTCTCTAAAACTTGAAAAAGATAAATTATTTTTAACTTATAAAAAAAAATTATTTATTTGTTGTATTGATTTGTTTGTCTTCTACAAGTATTTTTCTAAAAGCTTAGTTTATGTATAAAACCTTATTTGTTTCATCATTGCATACACTATTGAAGATTAGAAACAAGAGAGCTAACAGCACATTTTGTAATATACTCTTCCACGCACCAATCAAATTTTCAAAAAGTCAAAATCATAAAGATTATCAACTTATAAAGCAAATACTTTGACTTTTTAAAAAACACTTATCCAAAGGCTACATTACTGACATTTCTCTTGCAAACAATGATTATCTAAACTTAAAGATGATGCCCTTTAGTGAATCACAAGTCCCAGCCTCTGTATAAGTATGGACATTGGGTTGCTTCCCAAAAGGGGACGCCTCAATACTCCATAAATGATGTAAAAACGGGGAGAATCTTGTCAGTGAATGCTGTAATCAGTTAAAAAAGAAAAAGAAAAAATAATTTCACAAATTTGTGAGTCTTTACAATCTGACAATGCATAAATAGGCTAGTTTGGAGGTGTTCTTCCATTCATTTGATCATGTGGTTGGCCGGGGGGTACAGCCCCAGATAACATTTCCATCATAGATTGAAACGCTCCTGTTATATCCTCAGGCATTTGGTCAAAGTTTACACTAATATTTCCCCCAATTCTTATTTCGGGTTCATTAGCTCCACTACTGTTGCTATCTTCTTGCCTTTCCTGAGTATGTGACCCCTGATGCACATTTGTAGCATTTGCGGCTATGTTCATGAACATGCTTGCAAGATCGTTGGGGTTAAACGGCATTGAGGAAAATGGAGGCGGCACTGCATGGCTTCTTGATCCTCGTGCAGATTGGTTTTGGAACTCCTGAGATGATCTTGAACTCTTTACAGAATATGAAAAAAAGTTCAGTTGAAAACATTATGTTGGAGCAAACAGCCATCAGGTGTTATCCAAAGACTGCATATGGGTAACACCTGAATATTTGAAAAAGGAATGATAATAATAATAATAACAGTACCTGATTGTGATCTGCATGATGTTGCTCTTCTAACAATTTACGCTCAGCTACCTGTGGTTAACAACAGCATTACAATCACATAGAAAAAGTAATAGGAGAAGCAGAAGGAAATGGAAAAATAGAACAAACCAGAATATTTTCTTTGACAGACTCGTTATTTGGATCCAACTGCAAGGCTGCAGAGATATAAAAACACCTTTAGACAAATAAATTGAGTTCTTCAAGATTTACTGGATTTAACATTTCCAATTCCAAACAGCTTGGAAGTTGGAACCAATACTCATAATGATAATAAATTAATAACGGTTTAAATTCGGTAGACTGAATCATTTTCTCAGTAGAACGAATGAATACAAAATGCATTTTTAGTAAAATCAATTATTTAGACAATAATGATTATAACATGCTCCTGCAAGTGCAGGAAACCCAAATGGCTTAAAAGAAGCTAATCAATTATGAATTTTGAGAAAAACTTGTAAATTTCCATTAACCTTGCATTAGTAAGGTGATAGATCTCCACCATTTCACCTCGATTTGGAACAGTAGATAACAATTAAGTCAACATTCTCCACAGGATTCCAATAAAAACATAGGGTAAAACATATTGTAAGAACCAATAGCATGGGATGAATATAATCCTTTACCAACCTTTTATAAACCCTTTCTCAATAGCATCTCTGTAATTTCCTTGAGCATAATAAGCTAAACCCAATCGACTGTATGCTTTGCTGTAGTTTGGATCAATCTCAATTGATCTAAGGCAATCTTGGATTGCTTCCGTATATTTGTTAATCTGAGTGTAAGCAGCTGCCCTGACGTGTGCAAAAAATGAAGGAACAAAATGCCCCGTCAGTTTAATAAACTGGTGCCTAAGGTATTCTGAACCAGACAAATGTCTAAAATATATATTCTGAAATGTGAAGAAAATAAAGAGAGATGCATTTGAAAACAGGGACACATGTATACACGGGGTATTGTAATCCACCATCACTCCCTCTACCCTCATTTTTCATGGGTAAGGGTCCTTGACGTACCTAAAGGGCCCAAAACAAATTGGTTTATTATATGCGTACCTGAGTTTCGATGAAACAATATAATTTCTCCTGGATGAGTTAAAGGAGATATCCTTAGTTCTAATCTACACTACATAACAAAATTATATTTAGAACTTCGTAGAACTTGTTTCTCATAATTGTATAAGGGTGTCCCCTACATAACAACCATACTTTTTACTAAAATTTGATATCCCAAAAAATCTTAGCATTACCTTTAACAATGTCATGCCATCCCCTCCAAAGAATGGAGGTGGAACTTAATATTACAGATTAAAACAATATATTCAGTGAACTAAGAAATAATATAGCAATATATTTGAAATTTTGTAATACAGTATGAATCAGTGGCATACCTGTTGCAATAGTAAACAGCACTCTTTTCATGGAGTGCAATAGCATAATCATACAAATCTATTGCATCAGAGTATTGCTTAGCTTGCATTGCCTTGTTACCTGAGTGAAAACCCATTTTCAAGCATTAAATCATCTTGCAAAAACCTATCACTGTGTAGATATTCTTTAACAAAACTTGCATACACCCAAATTGAAAAACAATTTAATCACACCAATCTGCAGTGCAGTATGAAGACAGATTACAATTTAATCACACCTATCACTGTACTATGCACCATGCATGCCACAGTGTAAGAGTATGTGTGACAGAGATTTTCAATCCATCCACGGATAAAATCAAACTTTTTAAATTCAAAGTCACTTATATCATACCTAGTGATTTCAGTGATTCAGCCAAATTCTTCAAACTAAACTGATGACACCCAGACCTTTCCATCTCCTACATAGAAGCATCAAGTATAAAACAGACAGCTCTACTGAAATTTTGTTTTAGGATAAAATTGATAAGCCCAATAACATTGCTTGATCCACATAGCCACCCCCACCAAGTGGTATAAGACTTGGCTGTTTTTGTCGTAGAATTAAACAGACAAAAAGCAGGATACTAAAACGAATTACTTAAAATAACAAGAATGGTAGTAGAAATAATAATGTGCATATTATCAACTGATTAGAAGCAAACAAATAGGTATGTTTTGAGTTTCAACATCGATGGGAAATGCAGTATATGTTTATTCATGACATAATATGTCCTACCATAAAAGCCTCATCGAATAAACGACATGCTTTCTCCAGTTGCACTGGATCATCACTCCCATCAGTATTGGTCCCACAATAGTGATTTTTCTCCAGAGCAGCAAAGAATTGTCCACAGAGTTCATCTTTAGATACTGCTGTCAAATATCATGAAAATAATGTAACTTTACTTAAAACTTTTTAGGAACTACATAAGGTTCATTATGAGATATGTCACATGTTGAGGAATAAAAGAAAATCATTTAGTACTCAGTCTAATAAAGAACAATTATATATGCTTTTTGGTTTTTCAAAATATTACATGCTTTTACTTTTCATTTAGTAGTTCCTATTTTTCATTTCTTAACCTATGACCTAAAGGGGTACATTAGCAAAACCGCAAAAGAGAAAAATTGAAACCACTCTTGTTGACTACAAACAAATTTTCATGAAATCCAAATGACAACAAAAATGAGACACTAAATATTGTCAAAGACATCTTTTGTGGATTGAAAACATAAATCAACCTAAACAGGCTCATCTAGATTAACAACAATTCTTTTGGATAATAATTAACAAGAAAATTTTAATGCCTTTTACTTCCATAAATATGTTAAAACTGCAATTTTTACTTCCATAAATATCACTAACCAGAGGAATTATTATATTACTCCTTGTCATGCAAAACAACATAAAGTCATTTAATTAGTTATGTTCGTTATAATGCTTGTTAAGGGGTCTGCACCCTAGAGCATGCTCAAGGTACAACAAATAAAAGAATTGAAAGTTACAAAACTATAAACTTGTCCAGCAAGAAATGCTCCCTCATTAAGAACTTCAAGATCATACATAATATAATACACTCTCCGCATAAACAGTTAAATATATGATAACTCAAATTTCAAGTAAAATAAAGGGGACATATTATCCTACCAAAAGCATGCGAGTCCTGTGTCCAATCTTCATCCTAATCAAGTTACATATTGTGAAATAAATCAGAATCGAGTCAAACTTTCAATAAGACACAATTTTAAATTAATGTGATAGTGTGATGTGCTGCGAGGACAGTGAAAGTAGAGAGATTCAACATGAAACACTTCAGCATCAATGTGGCAACAATTGTTTATTTATTAGAAGTATTGGATTCTAGTGAGGAGTTTATAAAGCCTTGAGCTCTGAAACTATAACAACTAGCTTTTGTGGTGTGCCTCTCCTAATGTTCTTATCAATTGGTATTAGAAATCTTGCACCATGTCTCTTAATTGCAAGAGTGGCGCAGTGGTGAAACCAAAATTGCAGTATTCTCCCGAAACTAGTTAAGGGGCTAGTTCACAGCCAGCCTATGTGGGCATCAAGGTTGCAATACGTGACATAATGTAAGGATCCAATGCCAAGGTATGGAACTTAAGTTTCACATTAGACCTTAGAAGTATGAGATTCTATTGTAAGGTTCATAAGGCCTTGGGCTTTCCAACTACAACTACTAGCTTTTGAAGTATGGTTCTTCCAAAGTTCATAAAGTCATTAACCATTAAAGCACATAGGTAAGGCACATGAATGGTTTTATATCTCACACCCCCCACAAACAAGAGACTCTTGAGCTAGCAATGTGCACCAAGCACAAGCCAACTATCTTATGCTAAAATTTATTCTTTTATTAGAAGAATAGGGATAACAAGGATTGAACTCTCAACCGTAGGTCATATAGGCTCTAATACCATGTCATGAACCAACTATCCCAAAAGGTTTAATTTATTAGAAGAAGACATATGAATAGTTTTTATCTCGTTATATGATTATTTATTTAATTAGGATTAATAGTCTAAAATAAGTACAAATAAAGGTTAGTTCATTGTATTTTGTAACGCTTAATTACTCACCACATTTCAATATTATATTCTATTATTCAAAGTTTGTTCTCTCTTTTCCTCCTCCTCTACCTTATTGTTATATGTTAGAATCTATTAGAATCTTGTAAATATATTAATTGTATATCTTGTAATTATTTACTCTTCTCTATAAATTGGAATAACTCCGCTGTGCCCTAAATAGACAGATTCAATATTTTCTCTCTCAACATGGTATCTAGAGCCTAAGAGGCAATCCTAATCTGTTTTTTTTCCCGGTGGACCCACTATTCACCAGTGCCTTTTTTTTTCCGGCACCGCTGCCGCCGCCGCCACCATCCGACCTCCGATCACTACTGAAACCCTGCCGTCGTGATCGCCCTTGTCAAATCGGCCGAACTCTGCTGACCGCGCTTTTATCGGAGCCCTCATGCGCCCCCTTCTCCTCAAGCGGTTTTCTCACGCGCCACCTTCTCTCTCTGCACGTGACGGCGCGTCTGGCGTCCTTTCCTGACGCCGTCAACTGGGGTTTACTCGCCCCTCTCTCCTCTACCTGTATCTGCTCTCGGTTAGCTGTTTGGACATTTATTCCCCCTTGTTTTGCCCTTTTTCGCTGCTGTTTGGGCATTTTCTCTCTCTTCTCGCTGACCAATGGCTGCCTCTAGCACTCCAAAAGCCAATACCCAGATTTTTACCAACCATGTCACTGCACCTCTTTCTTCTGAGCAGTTGAACGGTAAGCACTACTCTTCCTGGACTTCTCACATTGAACTTTGGCTTGTTGGACAGGGTTATAAGACACATCTCACCCAAACAGCAGATGATGTCCCGGAGGCCGACCATCTTCTATGGAAAAAGGTTGACGCCCAACTATGTTGTATCATCCGAGCCACCATTCACCCATTTCTTTGTGATGTCTTTCACACTCACAAAACTTGCAAAGCTGTTTGGACACAAGTCCAACAACTCTTTACAAACAATTCTCGGCGACTCTACCAAGTTTGTGAAGACCTCATGATTGTCCTTAGTGCCCATCAGATTAAGAATTCTATGTCGACCTATCTAGGCTCGATATCAAGCCTTCTTTGTGAGTTCAACGAATTGCTTCCTTCCGCTGCCACTTTAGATGCAGAACTTGACAATCGCAAGAAGTTTTTCATGTCCTTGGCTCTATACGATTTGCCCCCAGAATATTCTCATGTTCGTGATCAGATCCTGGGGAGCCTCACATAAGCTACTATGGATAGTACCTAGGCGACCCTCCTCCGTGTGCCCCCCAAATCCTCCTCTGAGCCTTTGCTTCCTATTCCTATTGACTCTTTGGCTTTAGTTTCCCGCAACACCAACCGACCTTCACAGTGTAAGGGCGGCAAAGGACGTCCCTGATGTGATCATTGCCACCGCTCGGGACACACAATTGATAAGTGCTGGACTTTACATGGTCGACCTCCTCACATTGTCCAAGTGGCCCAAAGTTTTGTGTCTCCTTCATCCACTTCTGCTCCACCATTGGCTCCGGATCCACATCTATCACCTTCCTATGACAATTTCTTGAAATGGTATGACGATCGTTAGGCCTCCGGTTCCACTGCTGCTGTTGCACACACTGGTAATTCCTTCGTTGGTCTCTCTCACTCTTCAGGCCCTTGAGTCCTTGACTCTGGGGCCACCAATCACATCACTAGTAATAAATCTCTTTTTTCTTCTCTTTTTACTTCTGGTTATTTACCTTCTGTCACCATGGCAAATGGGTCTCAAACTCAGTCCCAAGGTATTGGTATTGTTCATCCTCTTCCTTCTCTTTCTATTAACAATGTCCTTTATGTCCCTAGGGCTCCCTTTAATTTATTGTCTATTAGTCAACTTACTCGGTCTCTTGATTAATGTCATATCTTTTACCAAAAATTTTGTTTCCCTGCAGGACCGGATTACGGGGAGGACGATTGGCTCCGGATGTGAGTCTCATGGCTTCTGTCAGCTCAACAAGCCCTCTCTTGTTGGTTCGACAGCAACGTCTCCACTTTTGATTCATGCTCGATTAAGACATCTAGGTCTTGATAAGTTGAAGCAGATATACCCTAGTCTTTCTAAGTCAGAGTCTTTGTCTTGTGAGTCATGTCAATTAGGCAAACATGTCATAATTCTTTTTCTAGTCGCATTATGAGTCGGGCTTCGTCCCCTTTTGTTTTAGTTCATTCAGATGTTTGGGGTCCAAGTCGTATTTCCTCTACATTAGGGTCTAGGTATTTTGTCACTTTTATAAACGATTTTTCCCGTTGTACTTGGTTATACTTACTGAAAGAACGTTCTGAAATTTTTTCAATTTTTCAGTCTTTTTTTATGAAATAAAAAATCAATTTGGTATCCCTATTCGTACTTTACAAAGTGATAATGCACGTGAATATCTGTCTACTCAGTTTCAGACCTTTATGGCATCACATGGTGTGTTACATCAAACATCTTGTCCTCATACTCCCCAACAGAATGGAGTTGGGGGACGCAAAAATAGGCATCTATTTGAGACCACCCAGACTCTTCTTCTCCACTCTCATGTTCCTAATCAGTTTTGGGATGATGCGGTACTCAGTGCATGTTATCTCATTAACCGCCTGCCTTCCTCTGTTTTACAAGGTAAAATCTCTCATCAAGTTCTATGCCCTCACCACTCTCTTCATCCTTCACCCCCTCTTTAGTTCTACATGTTTTGTTCATGCTCTTGGTCCTGGCATTGACAAGCTCTCTCCATAGTCTCATAAGTGTGTTTTTCTCGAGTACCCACAGTCTCAAAAAGGATACAAGTGTTATTCCCCTACTCTTCGCAGGTATTTCATTTCTGCTGATGTTACTTTCTTCGAGTCCATTCCATTCTTTGAACCTAGAACATCAACACTCGAGTCTTCTCCATCCACGACTGCCCCTAGTTCAATCCTTTTCTGTCCTCCAGAGGCGTCTCCATCGCCTCCACATCCATCGCCTCCACATCCATCTCCTCCACCTTTGCAGGTATATCAGCGTCGTACTCGTCCTGTTTTGGAGCCACCGAGCACTGACAACACCATGGACTCACCTTTAGAACCACCTCTTTCGCCTCATCTTCCGATCCCGCCCTCTGAATTTGACATTCCCATTGCCATTCGAAAAGGTATACGTTCTACTCATAATCCTTCTCCTCATTATATTTCTTTAAGTTATCATCGTCTTTCTCCTTCCTATTATTCTTGCCTTTTTTCCTTGTCCTCTGTTTCTATTCCTAAACGTGTAGGTGATGCATTTTCCCAACCCAGATGAAAACAAGCTATGCTAGACGAGATGTGTGCATTACAGAACAGCAGGACTTGGGACCTTGTTCTTCTACCACCAGGGAAGTCAGTTGTTGGTTGTCGGTGGGTGTATATAGTTAAGGATGGTCCAGACGGCAAGGTTGATCGGCTTAAGGCCCGTCTCGTCGCCAAAAGCTATACTCAAATCTTCGGGTTGGATTATGACGACACCTTCTCTCCCGTGACCAAATTGCCTTCTGTGCGACTATTCCTATCCATTGCTGCCATACGTCATTGGCCTCTCTATCAGTTGGATATCAAGCATGCTTTCTTACATGGTGATTTGCTCGAGGAAGTCTACATAGAGCAACTGCCTTGTTTTGTTGCTCAGGGGGAGTCATCTGGTCTTTTATGTCGATTGCGAAAATCTTTATATGGCCTCAAGCAGTCACCCAGAGCATAGTTCAGCAGATTCAACAGTTTGGCATGACTCGGAGTGAGGCTGACCATTCTGTCTTCTATCGTCACTCCACTACCGGTTGCATCTACTTGGTTGTTTATGTTGATGACATTGTCATCATAGATAGTGACCATCAGGGCATCGTACAGGTGAAGCAACATCTCTTCAAACATTTTCAGACAAAGGATCTTGGCAAACTCAAATATTTTTTAGGAATAGAAGTAGCACAGTCTAAAATGAGATCATCATTTCCCAAAGGAAGTATGCAATGGATATTTTGGAAGAAATAGAAATGTTAACTTCCAAACCAGTCGACACTCCCATGGATCCTAATGTCAAGTTCTGGCCAAATCAGGGGGAGCCTCTTCTAGATCCTGAAAGGTACAGACGGTTAGTAGGGAAGCTGAACTACCTTACTGTTACCCGTCCAGATATCTCATTCGCAGTGAGTGTAATAAGTCAATTCATCAACTCTCCATATAAGGAACATTGGGATGCAGTAATTCGCATTGTTCGATACATCAAAGGAGCTCCAGGAAAGGGTCTTTTGTATGAAGACAAAGGACACACTCGAGTTGTGGGATATTCTGATGCAGATTGGACAGGATCTCCCGTAGATAGAAGGTCCACCTCTGGATTCTGTATATTTGTCAGAGATAACCTTGTATCTTGGAAAAGTAAGAAGCAAAATGTTGTAGCCCGATCGAGTGCAGAAGCGGAGTATCAAGCTATGGCTATAGCGAGTCAGTAGCTTATATGGCTCAAACAGTTGCTTCAAGAACTATAGTTTGGAGAGGTCACACATATGTCACTTATATGTGATAATCAAGCCGCTATGGATATTGCCTCAAATCCAGTATTCCATGAGAAAACAAAGCACATTGAAGTTGATTGTCACTTTGTCAGAGAGAAAGTCATGTCCAGAGAAATATCTATTAGTTTTGTTAATTTCCATGACCAACTAGCAGACATCTTTACTAAGTCACTAAAGGATCATCGGATTAACTACATACGTAACAAGCTTGGTGCATATGACCTATATGCTCCAGCTTGAGGGAGAGTGTTAAAATCTATTAGAATCTTGTAAATATAGTAACTCCATATCTTATAATATTTACTCTTCTCTATAAATTAGAATAACTCCGCTATGCCCTAAACACACGGATTCAATATTTTCTCTCTCAACATTATCAATAACACACTGTAATATTGCTGTAGCACTACGAGACCATGGGCTGCAAAGTTTGAATAGCATTTTCAGATAGAAGTTGTTGCAGATGTATCCATGACCAAAATAATGGCCTTTTGTGGTGCTATAGCAGTGCCAAAGTAAAGAGCTTCATAAAAAAATTCCCTTGAAACAGCACTTTTTAGGGCTTTTTTAGTGACAAAGTTGAGATCTCCCTCTCCCTTTTCAGAACTTAATTGAATGCAGTTTCCAATGCTTCCCTCTACCGTGCAACACCCATACTCTACAGCGAACACCCACCCTTCTGCAGTATTTCTGGTGATATCCACACTCCATTCCTCCTTCTGTTCTGAACTTTGAATCACATTGGTTCTGAATTTTAGTGAAGTTTTTTTATGTTTGAGCTCTTTTATGTATATATTATAAATTATTCAATCTGTATAAAAAGTTTTAGAATAGAGGCCAGTCAGCCACCGCACTATATTGATCCCATTATAGCATTTTAGGGATTGGCCGCAAAGCACCACTATCTGATATTAATAATAAGTATGTGCTAACTAAAGAAGTTTCATCCTACATGACCCCCATCAATATCTGTTTCCTTATTTAATACACTATAAACAGGGTTAGTGCATACTGCATACTGCATTATGTTTGTGAGACATCATTACACACCAAATATCAATATTGTATTTTATTATTCAAACTTCAAAGTTAGCCCTCTGTTTTCCCCTTTCTCTACCTAAATCCCTACAACTATCAGTGAAACTACAAGTGAAACTAAACAAAGTGTAATGGAATGGTTGGGTAAATGGTGTATCACATTATCACGTGCTCCTCGCATATGTCAAATAGAACAAAACAAGAAAAGTGTGAAGCACATAAGAAAAAGACAAGCAATTTTTAATCAACTAAACAATTAAGGGAAAATATTAATTCAATCTACCAAAGAACAAGGTCGCAAAGATCAACAGTCAAAAAATTGATCTTTCAGGTGAATAACAACAACCAAAAAGTTAATACTTGACACGAATAAATTGGCCTAATGCAAGAGTAATGAGAGGGAAAATGAAAATTAACCATAGATTTCGATGCCTGAGAATGATTTTCTGCATGAGCAGGATTCTCGCCAGACAATGAACTGGAAGTGGCCACAGAATCAGGTTGAGGACCAATATCTGACTTACTCGTTTCACATTGCTTGTTAGCTTCAAGAGACTTGAAAATGTCAATCAGTGAATCAGGTTTCACAGGATCACCATTCACAGGAGATGAATTAAGCCTAAAAGCCTCCACCAAACACTCCCTTGCAACCTCAATCCCCTCAGCATCAACCCCTGGGCTGGGTTCAACTATTCCACGGCAACCAAATTAGAGGATATTATTGATTGAAACAAAAACAAAAAATTAAAACTAAATCAAAAAATTCGACAATTTAAATGAAAACCAAGTAACAATTTTCTCTACCCTGTTACATATTACCAGATTAAATGACAATTGGCAACTCGAACCCAATTAATCATGAAAAAATAAAGCGACCCAGTTCATAAAACCACACACAATGAATAAATACGCAGCAAAGATAATTTTTTTGCAGTGAGAATCAAATTGGGTATTAGTGCTTAGTGAGGAATGAGAATACCAGAGTTGAGGAATTGGAGGAAGGCACGAACAATGCGACGAGAGAGAGGGGAATCGGTGGTGATGTGATTATGAGTCATTTGATATGATATCTCAGAAACGGTGAATTGAAAAACGAAGGCAGATGAAGATGACGAAAAAGGCCATATTTTGGTGTGAAGAGTATAAGCGAAACTCGTGTCTTCCAGAAAGTTCGCAGATGAAGCAGCGAATCTAGCTTTAACTGGTTGAAGTCCTGACACTGTGTTTGCTGTGTTTGACGGATTTAAGTTCCGGTCCTTTATTTACAGATTATTTTTTCTGGCATTTCTTTTTACAGGTTTTTTAATTCTTCAAAAACAATTAATAACTTCATTTTTTTAAAAGTCTTTATACAAACTTTTTTTTTCTTAAAAGATAGACTGTTAAAACTTTTAACATTAAAATTTATTTATTTTTCTAAAATCTCGGTTAATAACTTTAAAATCAAATTTCTTTTAAATTTTGAATATTTATGTACTTTGAAATGATTTTAATTTATGTTTTTATGCTTTATATATAATATAGTATGATATAATATAAAAGAATAGTATAATAAAAGTGAAAAATATTAAACTCTTACAAATAAAAGAATTCTTGGAAGTCTGAGGGGATAAAACTTTTAAAAGAAGTTGAATTTTAAAAATAAAATAAAATGAAATTATATAAATATTAGTTTAGAATAATTTTTTATTAGTTGATCACGTATTTGATAATAAAATCATATAAATATTAATTTTTTATTTAAATTAAATTTTAATATATATATATATATATAAAGGAATTAAATTACATTAATATATTATATCAATTATTATTTTAAAATTTTATATTTAATATCTAATTTAAATATATAAAAATTAAAATTATTTAATTATAGTCTTGTCAAGTATGAGTGCATGCATTTAAAAATTTATTACATAAATTTAAAACACAAAAAAATACAAAATAAAAAACATCATACATTCATTCACAGAAAAATGAATAATGATTATACTTGTGTAATAACAATAAAAGTAAATAGATACTCTAATACACTAATGATAAAAAATAAAATAAAATTTATCCATCTTTACACATTTAAACTCCTTAATAAAATATATTTATATTGAAACATCATCAGTTGTATCGATATTATCAAAACTTTTAATATATATTAGCTAGTAACTTGTGCAACAATTCATTTTAGTTTTAAATAGGTATGTATATAATTTAATGATTAGAGGTGAATATATATATATATATATATATATAAGGAATTAAATTATAGCAATATAAGTTATACTAATTGTTATATTAAAAATTTTAAAAATATATAAATCACATTTATAAAATTTTAAATTTTTAAATTTAATATTTAATTTAAGTACATCAAAATTAATGTAATATTTAAAAATATATATAAAAACAAAAACTCCTTAATTATAGTCTTATCAAGTGTGAGTGTATGCATTTAAAAATTTATTACATCATAATTTTAAAACACAAAGCTAACAATAAAATTAAATAAATTATCTAAAACATTAATGATAAAAAAAAGTATCCATCTTTAGACATTTAAACTACTTAAGAAAAGGTATTTACACTCAACATCATCAGTTATATCTATATTATCAAGCTCTTATTTAGACACTTATTTTAATAATCATGACATCAATCTTTTAAAATAATAACATATTTCTTATTACTTCAGATAAAATAAGATGTGATTTGATAAATATATATAATTATAATAGGTATATTTTGAATTGATAAAAAAATTAAAAAATTACAACTCTTCAAATTATGTCATAATAAGATTTACGATTGAGTATCTAAATTCTAAGTACGTAATTTTTATTGTAGGCTAAAAAATGAAAGTTTGTGATAAAACTAATAAGGTCATAATCAAATAGAGTAAAAAAATACTGAAGGTTAACTATCTAAATACGAATCTGAGATAGAATTGTGGCACAAATTAATATTCTCTTTGATTTTATTGATGATTAAAAAAATATATTTTGATGCAAATCAAGAGTAAGAACAACCTAACTCAAGTTTTTCAAGAGATACTTTGCAAATCTCAAACGAACTCATTACAAAAGCACATGTCAGAAGGTCCAAAGATAAATTGTTGGAGTTTTGAACTAAAATGCTACAAAATAAGAAATTTAGACCATGAACCAGGCTTGAGCAAACTTTATTTGGCATTAATATTGTCATATTGGGTTAAATATAATATTTTCTAATTAGCTGATGTATTACAATAAATTTTAGGATTTGCTTTTCATATTTAGGCCCAGTAAATGTAGTTTATTCTCTAGACAAAATTTTTTTAAGGTGGAAATAAACGTAATTCTCTACGCCAATATTTACATAACTGCATAGGATAATTAAAGGCATTAACTGTTAATTAATTCTCTAGATCAACTAAAAATTCTATATATGTGAAAATTTTATAAATTAAAATAAAAAGAAAGATAAGAAATAGAGACAAGGAATAGTCAAGTCTTATATTATTCACATAAGAAATATTTATACAATCATAAGAATTATCAAGAGAAATTAAAAAACTTAAAATTATACAATATATTTTCAAAATTAAATCAGATCATGATAATCTTCTACACATCCATAATTTACACACTTTTCCTTAGATGAGTATACATTATTAATGACTAGTTAAATAAAATATAGTTGGATAAAAACTTATAAGGGGCAATTAAAGAAGAAAATGCATATAGTTCTTGATTATCCCAATTTAGGAAATGTTGCACTATGTGATAATGGAAAGGATTAACCATGATCAGACACTCTGCAGCCATACTTCTCTCCATCTCAAATCTAACGGTTTAAAAGGAGAAAAAGACAAAACTGAATTCACTTAAAGAAAAACGCGATAAGCAGCATATTGTGCATCTCCTCCCGCCAAAAGCAGCAACTCGGAGCTGGTGACGTTGGTCTTTAACGACATTATGGAATGAAGGAACACGACGTAGAGGTTGAAACTCCAATGCGTCGCTTGAACTCACCGGGTCACTGCGAATATAGCAAACACAAAGGAACACACTGCATCTTCCCTGCCCAAATAAGCAACCCGGCAAGTTCGAGCAATCCATAAGAGCTTCAATCTCCACACGGTGTTCTTTTGTTTCACCGTGCCATTACACCCTAACGTCACCAACTCCAATGCATTACTCAAATTTGTCATCTCATTGCTTTTGACGGAATAGAATCACAGTATGTTTCTTATCGCAACACTTGCTCATGCGAATTTTATTTTGTCCTTGTACTTTTTTGACCGTAGATTTAAATCCAAGCTCAGATTTAAGATGTAGGGAACTATGTGCTTTTTTTAACTGTACATTTAAATCCAACAGCTAAAAAAATTAAATGGAGGGAAGGACAAGCGCAAAGGATCCGATTCCTGATTAACCCCTCAATCTTGGGGTCGAGAAGGAGACAAATGTTGCCCCAAAATACGTACAATACGTCAGCTATAGTAATTATTTTTTAATGCAGTCTCAGTAAGCATCCAATTATAATTTACAGAATATTGGGTTCTAAACAAAACCCATTCTCCAATAAGAATTGAGAAATACTATGTGTATAAAACATTTGTAGAATCTTGATTACAACATAAAGAAATCAGAAAAAAAAAGGTGATAAGATGAATGATGTGATGGAGAAAAAAAGAAAAGAATTTGTTGTGGAAATATTATAACCAATAAGAATTTATGGAAGACGATGATTTCGACGAAGAAATAGTCATGAATCCCAAAAACTGAGCTGCGAAACGCATGAACAGAATATGCTGTCTTTTAACACCAAAATATACGGCGCAGAGACAGCATATGCATTCGTGATACTATTTTCTTGATTCAGTGGTATCTCTTTGGCTGGCTTTGCAACCTGCTGTAACAGTAGCAGTAATTTTCTTACATATTACTGAGAAGAACAATTCCCAGCAGAATCACTGCATGAATCACACAATGCCATTAAACTCAGTCAAAAATCAAATATTTAAAAATCTAATTAATCAAAATATTTATTTTAATAATTCATCTAAAGTTCTTTTGGGTCTCCCTTTTCACTAAACAAAGAATCCTGCAATTAACTCTCTTTATTAGTAACTCCAAAGTTCTTTTTTCACATGATTTTTGAAGATTTTTTTCCATTATAGATGCTACTTCAATATTCTTATATACTATCATTTCGTATCATATCATTTTTCATATGTTCACTCATTTATCTTTAACATTCTCATTTTTGTTATTCACACTTTATTCTTGTGTTATTCTTTTAAAGCTCAATATTCACTACCATATACAACATATAATGCTAAAAAAAATGCATAAATAGCATATGAATAATTATCCACAAAAAACATACAGAGAAAAAATAGTGGATTTTTCAAGAGACCATAACAAAGGCAGTACTGTAGAATCATAGAATAGAGAGAAGAAACGAAGTGAATTTTGCCAGAGAATTCATCGAAGAAGAGTAACTTTGCTGGATTGAAGATTGTTGCAAAGAAGGATCAAAGACAAAGATGAGAGGAGAGAGCATCAAATAGAGAATGGGAGAAGAAAAAAAGTAGGGTTTCGTCACGTGTCTCTAGTTGCAAAGCAAAACAGCAACAGAGATGAGAGAATGGGAAATCGAATAGAGAAAGAAAGAAAAGCATGGGAAAAAGTGAGATTTGGTATGAAAATTAAGACTATTTTACCCTTGAAAAAACCTCTAGACTGTCAGCTTATTTCTAAGAGATTAGAATTTAGAACCCTTTCTTCTCCTTGAAAAACCCTAAAATTCCTTCGTTCTGAGGGTAGAAAAGGAAAGTTGGCAACTTTTCTATGGTGGCGCTATTGCACTACAAAAGGCCGCGAATACAGCAGCAATGGCCACACAGCAAAATGCTCTGCTATGCCAAATCTATGGCAACCAAGGGCCACTCTGCCACGCATCGCCGATATTGCATGCTATTGACAATTATGATTTCAACATATACTTTGGTAATTTGATGTGTGCAATTCATGTATTAGTTTTTAGAATGTATTTCTATTTAGGTAATTAAGTCATGCATAATCTTACATTTAAAGAAAGTATTTTACTTGTTTTACACATTTTTTATGTAGAAGAGTGGATTTTGAAGCTAAAACATGGATAACATGGAACTTGGAATGAAGAAAATGAAGCTTAAGAAAAATAAACCTTGGCCAACAAACTATACAACCTGCCTGCGTCAAAAAACA